TAAAGAGAGATATTGACCAAGACTTCAAATAAAGTATACCTAATACCTTGTACTGCAGAGCCCTTCTAGCCTTTGTCCCAGACCACCTGTGCACACACAGGCCAGTAGCAGTAAAGGGTTTTTGTGTTGGTGCTTTTGGGCTGCTTTGAAATCAAGGGTTTCCCAATCATGTTTCAGTCAACACAGTTTAATTTCTACTGTAACACCCCTGACATATCATGAGTCAAGCTAGCATCCTTAGCAGAAGCTGTTCAGAACAGTTCCCTTTCCTGCCCCTCAATCCTTTGCTTTTCTCTTTGGTGACAGCTAGCATTGTGTGTAATCCTTCACAAGCTTTATTAAAATCATCTCTGTTAAGCCTTTTGGGATCAAAATCAGCCTACATTTTCAAGTATTCTGTTGAGGTGCCAAATTTGGATGTTCAAGGTGTCATAAAAAATTCATTATGATACACCCACTTCCCACAAACTGAATCGAGTACTTGTACATGTAGGCAATGGCTTGACTTGAAAAAAAAATTGACTATAGATTTACTACATGCTCCTTCCATTGGCTGAATCAGATCATCTGTTGGTTTATTTCCATCAAAGAATTGGAGACTTTGAAATAAACCACAGATTTATTTCCAAGATGTCACTGTGATGGCAACAGCAGTATTTGCAAGCCCTGGCCTGCTGATAGAACCAAACCAATAAGTTTGCTAACATCTTGTCAGCTAACATTGACCTATCATAGAGGTATAGGTACTGGTGTATATTTTCCATATTCTCGCTATAATAACATTTAAAGCAAGAAACAATGCTTGGCATGATTCGGAAATGATTTCAGAGTTGGGTTTTTTTCAGCGAGCTCTACAGCTACACTGTCTGCAGGACAAGATTGTTTGAGATTGTAAAATGTTATTAGATATTATTTTAAGAAAGTTATTTTCTTTTTAAGAAAGCAGATTTCTGAGTACCATTGCATAGTCATAGGGATGCAACACTGGGTAACATTCAAGGATGAAAAAAAAGGGTGACATTCCAGCCTTAAAATAAAATCTGTATTTTAAGTGTCAGATTGGTAATCGGTACATTTTTCCCTTCACTATCAGCAGGCTTATTGTTCAAAAATAAAACCTGCAATGGTCAGGCTTGACCCGACACAGCGTAAAGACACACAAATAATACAAACACACCATGACAGAATTTAAGAATCTGAATTATTTTTTATGCACATGCAGCACAGTTTTCTTGCAGAATTTGTTTCATTATTTTTGCCCAATCTTTTCTGATTTTCTACCCAACAACAACACTCTGAATCAAATCTAGTCAGAGATCCACAAAGAGCTGTTTAGAGGTCTGAAGTGATTTATAACAGAAATTAATGTTTAACTACCCTCAGAAGAACACACCCTAGACACCAACAAAAAAGCTCACGTGAGGGCATGACCAGACAGCCAGCAAGGAGCCTTTGTGGCGATTAAATATAGTGCAGACACACATCAACCACATAATCCCTCCACTCATGTTTGGACTAGAAAAGTAAGGAAATCAGCAGGTGAGAAGTGGAAATGAACACGGAAACACTGAGTTTGTTAATCATCATTGCAGGGAGGGGGCCTGGCATGAGGACACACACAACATGACCAAGTTTCCCCAATTGACCAAATGTTTTTACAATCTTGCTGACACTGACAGAGGTCAATTCTCTTTCCAAAAAGGCTAATGCCCTTGATAAAAAAAAATACTCCACATATATCATTTAGCCTTGTGGATTAGTTGAATAAAGTGTATCAACCAGACAGAGCTTTAGCCAGGAAGACACTGCAGTGAGATCATATCAGAAAATTAAACTGTAGCCATCTCTTTTGACACTTCTCAGATCATCCTTAATATATTTGGTAGAAAACCTTGGAAAGTTCAGTATCCAGAAAGGAAGCAAATTACTGTTTGACACACAACCCGGCATTTCCAAAACGCCTATTACTGCACTGTTACCTGCTCTAACAGGGAGTGAGAAACTCATTGAAAGTAATCATCATTCTGCAAAGGTAAAAGAACACAGACACCTCCTTCTCATATTTATTTAAAAAGTTTTGTATAAAATCGCAGGTGAATAGCACAAAAGTCCCATAATCTACTTAAACATTTATGTAACTCCTATTCTTTACCATCAAAGTATTCTAGATGTTTGCAACATTCGTTATGTTACTGCTGAAACTCAAATGATGTTAGTGTAAACTGGATTTGTTAGTGTGCAACTTAAAAAGGACCATCACTTCATCTCTACAAAGTGGTAGGTCATGGCCTTGAGGCACTCTGAGCTCGGCTCTAATTGCAACTACTGTCTCGTTTCATGAAGGTACAGCCAGCATAAAGTTCAAAAAGGATAGTTGAAGTTAATATACAGCCAAAGGTGTGTGAGTGAGTAATACACTCTCAGACATCCAAATCATCAGTCTCACAGCTGTAGTCAAACAAAAAATAAAGATGATGACTTCCTGAGGGAATCATCAAGATGCTGCAGATGCCTTCATTTTAGAGACAGGACAGTGGAGAGTGTCCGACATTGGGGAGAGAGAGAGTGGGGAAAGACGTGAAACAGAAGCCACAGGTTGGATTCAAACCATGGCCGCGCGCTTGAAGGACTTTAGCCTCCACTAGGCTACAAGCTATACATTTTTAAGGAGGTTCACATCAGGCTTCATAAATAGGCATCTAAGTAGGTACATGAACTTACAATGTACACTGCAGTGTAGATTTGACGCGGAAGTATAAATCAGGCATAAAGAACTAAGTAATCGCAAAAAAGCAGAGGGGCAATCAAAGCCTGGAGAAACTTCCTGTTTAATGAGAGATAGACGGGAATTCTTCAGTTCTTCAAACTTCCTCAGAAAACACAAGGAAATTGCATTTCCCTTTTTTAGATTACAAAATATGTGATGTTATGTTTGTAGTGTTTAAAACAGGAAAAAGAGACAGAAATAAAAAGGACGAGGTGTATGCCGCCTGTCTTGTCATCAAGCTGCAAACGGGGGGGGGGGGGGGGGGTTGATTTCTATCAGGGGAAATGATAATGAGTCTGAGTCTGCAGAGGCCCTAACAGAGGCTCAGATATCATAGACGCAGTGATAGAGCACAAGGTGGGCGACAGCAGTAAGAAGTCCCCGTAGAGGCCTCCTGATCTTAGATTAACCATGCTCAGAGGCACACACATCACAATCACACTTATAGCATCCTCTCACAAAAACACACTTATTTGTCCCCCTATGGACATTTGTCACCCTTGACCATTATCTACTGAAACAAAGCTGCTGAGCCACCTGGAAATCAGCACCAGAATAAATTGGTCTGTACATTGACAGGAAAAGCACCACCTATAGAATTGATTTACTTTTCAGGAGGTATATATATTTGAGTTAATCAAGCAAAACCACTGCTTTAGTCTGTTAAGAAAACACATTTACAGGGAACACCCTTCATGCCATGTCATCAAAACCCACATATTGGTAAATCATTCGTCAATCAACGGCTGCTGGTTAGCTTCCTTCTTTCCCACATGGCTAGTTGGGGTCTGAGCGCCCCGTGGATCCTCTTAACCCTTCAGGTTAGAGTTGATCTCAACAGCGGGGCGAGAGGCCAGGTTCTTGAGCTGATTAAAGTTAGACTAAGCCTTCAAGGCCATGGGAACATGTACCAGCAAACACACAAATGTCTAAATACCCTGACAAGCTGGTGAAATTAAATACATGCTAGTATGGCTTTCTCTCAAGTGGTTCCTTTCTTTACAGAAAATGTCACAAATAGAGTCCCCTTTTAAGGAATAGCTACCCCTCACCTAAAAATCAACACTTCAGACTCTTATAGGTAGCTCAAAGGAACAAGAAGCAACAAAACACTGTGTCAATGGTTCTTTTTCACACACACACAAAAAAAAACTTTCATTCATACAATTTCAGTTTGTAAATCTGAGCCGTTCTCTCTATTAACCTGCTGCTGGTTAATCTTGGAGGAATGTGTGCAACAGTGTCAGACTCCCTGCTCCCAGGCATTACACGAGCCACCGGTGTGAGAGTGCAGGCCCACACATACACATTGCCTGCACACACTGCAAGTCATCATTAACCAAACCTTTCAACTGTAAACCTTGGTTGAAGTTTCCGCTCCACATGTCGGGGCAACTCCTCTCTTTGATTTGGTCTGATATTTTTAATTAGCCATAAGATTACCTCATCGCTTAATTAACTGTTTTGTCCACTGTCTGTGTGTGTGATCTGCACTTGGGTAAGCTCCATATTGGATGACATCACAGAATTCAGCTGAAAACACACCTAAACCCTGGTTTCAGGTGTGCACCAATAAAACTTTCCACATAAAACTCTGCATGCAAAATTGCTTTTGGAGTTCAGCCTTTAAGTTGCCCTTCACATGTTGCTGTGTGGACTAATAATATATTTATAAAATACAAACAACACTTCAACACAGCTATGGGCTCATAAGGACAGTATACAGCTGTACAATAATATGAAGGCAGTGGGCTAGAATTAGTCTGGCATTTAAAACAACAGTAACCAATAATGACCAGTGTTTTCAGTGAAAACTACCACATTATTATCACAGGTGAAGTTAGTGGGTATCTTTAGTTCTACAAAAGCCTTGCAAAGCTTTAAACCAGTGTTCAGTTAGGCTACTTTTAATTAAAGTTGTCATTTTTTTACATAGTGGTCCAACAAGGCAAGCTAACAGTTCTAAAGAAAAGCTCATTTAGACTAAGCTATAACCTAAAAACAGGACAAAGTGCGTATTTAAGTCCAAAGAATAATTTACAGGGGGTTGCCTTTCAGTGGAAAGAACAACATTTATAGTAGACTAATAAAGGTTCACAATGAGAAGAGTAAGACATGAACTCCCTGCCCCTGTAGATATCACGGTAATTAAAGTTAAGTGTACTAAAGTGATTTGTGTTATGTGGGCGTGAGTCATGTTAGCAAAGACGGAAGGAAAAGATGGAGCACTCACCTGCTCAGTGCTCAGTACTTTCCTGTGATTCCTCTCCCTCCTCTGCTCTGCTATGCTCTTCCACGCAAACACACACTCAAACTTTCTCACACACACACACACTCCCACACACCCAGTCCCGCAGCGGTCCCGACACCGCCTGACTGAGCTCGGTCTCCGGTCTGCTACAGTAGATACAGGAGGACTCGACGGGAGGAGGAGGGGCCACAAGTGTCACCTCTCACCGGCCGCTAACTCTGATATCCCGGGAAGGAAACAGGAGCAGGTACTCTGGTGGTTCCCTTCCACAGTGCTGGACCCCACCCAATACTGTCAGGCCAAGCCCACTGTGCTAGTTAAGATTACTCAGAGAATCCACAATGTTTGAAAAGTGTTGAATTTACTGCAGCACTGAGTCTGTTTTAAAGGGAGACTATATGTTCATAATGAAACTTGACTGTCACTTTAAAGACAAGCAAGCAAGCAAGCAAGCACACAAAAGCTGTTCTATCAATAAAAAGGGCCATTTATGAATTACATTTGATTGTATAGATAGAGAAAGAAAACCATAAAAGGCAACATTCAGCTTTCATGCACATGGATGCAAGCTTTAAGCACTTTGTTGGATTAGACTTGTCTGGTAGCTCAAATACCTATGACCAAAGTCCTACACAATTATTAGAAATGTATTTTTTTCAATTACTATTTTAGATACAATATAAATGTCATCTGAAAACACAATTTTACTGAAATTTTGATTAACCTCACTCATAAAGCTTTGACACTAGTTAAACCTCATGGTAATGCCATATATAAGCAATAGTTTACAGCATTTATTGCTTGTTTTTGAGTTGGGTTTACTCTTGGTCAACATTATTTACTTGTCTGTGTGTAAGGTGCAGAACCAAAAGGTAATGGGCTCTACCTTTTTCAGAATGTTTTTCTATTATTCAGATGTATGGAATGAAGATCAAAAAATGACAAAAAACACAATTACTTTGGCAGATGTTAAACATCCCATACAAGATAAAACACTTGATTTTCTCGGTGTGAACACGGAGCTATGAGACAACTTTTTATAGGAAGTAACTGTAATTTATAAACTGATCTCATCTTTGACCTAAATTGTTCTCTCTGTTAAGCAGTATGCAACTTCCTACAAGAAACATGATGGTTGAGCTTAGATTTGAATGTCTTGACTCATGGCCTTGATATCTGCTCACCAAGAGCCATTTTTTGTTATCCTGTCTATATGCTTCATGGAGGGGAGATAGTAACTCATCACTGACAGGATTTGTACCATGGAATAATCAAGAGATGATGAAAATCTCTGTTGACAAGCTCATTATGTGGTGCCAGCCGAGTCAACTGATAGATATCAAATAACCGCGACCCACAGCCGCCTAATAGGACGACAGTCTCCTTTGAGTTGGATGTATGCATATGTGTGTGTGTGTGTGTGTGTGTGTGTGTGTGTGTGTGTGTGTGTGTGTGTGTGAAGGTTTGATGTGATCTTTGGGCGAGTGAAACTTATAGTGAGCTGTTTATGAATAGTATGTTCTATAAATGTTGTCTGGACATGGAAATATAATGAGGGGGAAAAAACACTCACGATAGCATTGTGTTTATGGTCGAGGGAGAAAATGAGAAACCTCAGAAGACTAGTATAGGTGTCAAGCACATTATCAGAAGTCAGCTCAGGTTGTGCAAGGTGAAGCCCAGGAATGGCTGGAATCCATAATTATCAACACTTGTGTGCCGCGAGCTGCGACATTATCCTGTACTACAAACACACACACACAAAACATCAAGTTCACATAGCTGCAGGCTGTCATTGAGTTTAGGATCATTATACAGTGCAGTAAGTACTACCAGGACAATGATCAGCAAAGTACAGATCAGCAAGAGACTAAAAGCCATTGAGCAAAAGAAATAAAATAAAGCCATAGTCAGAGATTTATAGATTGAAAAACTGATTTGGATAGAGAGGAAGTTATAGGAATTTGTAACAGAAAGCCAAAAATGTAAATGGAAGAAAAAAAGAAGTGAAAAGCTGGTTGGAAGTGGAGACTGTAATTTTTCCAGAGCCTTACCCTTTGGTTGGGAAAACACCTGGAGGAGGTGGTGTTTAACCTGATTGCTACACACACTCAGAAAGCGAAAATGAACAGTTGAAGAGTCAGTTGCCTTCTTCTTTTCATTCTATACGTGCCTCTGTGTCATTTGCTCTGCCTGCATGTGTGCATGGATGTGTTTTAATTTACAGGTCCAATCAGTTTTACTGGTTCTAGGAGCCAATCAGCTAACATTTGTAAAAGAGAAGAGCATTTCTTTCATGAAGTGTAAATCATTTTGTTCACTCACCTTATTTGCTTTTACTTGCTTCTGTATGACAAGCCGCTCTGTGGCTGTAGCTATGGCTAATGTTTATGCATAAATAACAGCAGCAGAGAGTTAGTCCTAATCTTTTTCATCTGCATACTAAACACTGGGAATAACAATGATGAGTCAAGAAGAGCGTTAATCAACCTGAAGGTTAGAAAAAATTACCCTTTATGCATTTTCTCTGTAAATTCAATAGTATATAAACGGACACACAAAAACATCAGAAACACAAACAAAAAAAGTCTCTCTGTAAAATTCCTTACTCAGCAGTTACTTTAAAAAAACAACATTTTATGGCTAATTTTGTTGATTTGAAGTTTTGTGGATATCCTTAAAGAATAAACGTCTCTAAAACCAGCATTGCAAGGTTAAATTGAATGTCGACCTCAGAGTACTGGGTGGGCTCGAAATGTTGTGTTCTTTAAAGGTGCACTATGTAGATTTGGTTGTGAAATTTGTTGTGAAAAAGTTGAAGAAGCGAAACAATCTATGCTATATTTTCTGAACTGAATGCACAAACTTTACTCAAAGAAAAACATGGGTCCCTGAACACTGTTTAGAGCTAAAAAGCTACCAGGAGAGTTACAGTTTCACTATTTCGGGCCCACCACCATAACTTCTCGTGTAGCAGTTTATCTTCAAACAGTGTTACAGGGAACACATTTCCCTCTGAGCACAGTTTGTGTATAGAGTTATGAACATATATCACAGAATCTGTACACTTCTCCAACTTTCTCTATACCAGAACTACATAGTGCACCTTTAATGCACATAACAAATAATTGAGTATATCTCTGGGGGCCAGAGTGATGCAAGTCTTTGTGTTTTTTACAAATCATCACCTGAATAAGTGATGTGACTGTTTTCTGACCTTAGTGTTTCGTCTACTAAAGGCCTCCACCATCCTTGTCTTTGCTGAACACAAAGCGTGCCTCTCTAATTTGATGGAGGTCTGCCCTCTAGTGAGAAAACTGCTCTCCCACAGATTCCTCCCTGTGAAGGCTGCAGCTGAATTTATAAACACAGGTGATGCTGCTCCAGCACAGCAGGGTCACCTGAGATACTCTGCAAAAATAATAGTAATAATTTAAATTACAAAGAAATAAGTGAAAGGGTTGTTTGCTCATCCCCAGAGGAAACACAACAGCCTCACAGTAAAGTTGTGATTATGTTGCAGAGAATTGGTAGGCTATATAATAATTTGTCTGTTTATTTAAAGGTACATTTTTGGGCTTTTTATGCTTTTCTTTAGAAATACAGTAGGACAGTGGATAGAGTCAGAAATCAGGGAGAGAGAGAGTTGGGAATGACATGCGTCATTCATGCTCAGTTCAGGCCTCTGAACTTTAACGGACATTTTAAGGAACTATTGGTGATTGAAATTTCTGCCATGGACAGCAGCTTCTTTTGTCAATAATTTTTCTGTGTGATGAGATAAATAATACTGCAGAAGGAGGGTCCTCTAGCTTGTAGTGAGCTATAACCATGCAAAAGACCGAAGGAGCCGCTTTCCACAATTTAAGCGCTGTTGCCCTTTAAATAAGACGTAACGTGACGCAGATGCTTCCATCCATATACCCTCGTGCCTGTCCTCACGATGCAGCCATCCAGCGCACCTCCTGCATTCCCCCGGCCCAGCCCCCCTCTCCACTCTCCTCTCCTCCCCTCCTCTCCGAGTGTGTGATCTACGGTCACCGCTCCAACCAGAGAAGTTCTGGGTGAAGAACCACAAGGAAACAACCAAAACCGAGGCGATGGATCCGCCAAAGGACTAACAGTGCGACGGGAAATGGAGCTCAGGTAAGTGCGGCCTGGTCTTGTCATTGAAAGCACCAGTGTCATTGGCCGCGGCAGAGCTGTCATCTTGCAAAGGATGCGCCTGTGGAGTGGAGGGGGTAATGTGTGCATCAAGGACTACAAATAATACATGAATGGAGTAACCGTGCAGTAAATGTGTGGAGCTTGCTGTTATTTAAAGCCCGTTGTGTTCTGCAGGCTAACGCTAAGGCACAGGTTGTATGTTTATTTTGGTGCAGCTGATGGAGAGATGCTGCGCAGTGCGCACCGGCAGATGTTTACATGTCGTGTCATCCTGTGCGCCCATTTCTGCGCGTTTAACTCCCCAGGGCCTTTGTGCGTCAGGTACATGTTGTTATCTGCTTCCAGCGTCATAACAGACTTGATATCTAAAATTTGTCGGACAGAGAGAAAAAGTAAACAGTGTTATAGACCCATAGTAATGTGACATCAGTCGTGACAGGTTGCCTGGCGCTGCAGTGTGACCTTGCAGCCGGAGACGCCACCAGGGATTTTGGTTTCAATGGAAACATTGGGCACCATCACAACAGGCCACACAAACTCTGAGTTAATGCTGAAACCACACCTCCAGAACCCAATGTATTCATTCAACAACCTTACCTTTGCAGGCATGCAACTCTGTTGTAGTCCAACACTTCCTGTACAATTCATACTGCAGTGAGCTTTATAAATATAACATTGTACAAGTCACTAATCCGCATACAGTGGAATTTACTCTTTAATAAAAGACAGTAGTGTTTCATAAGACATGATCTAAAAGCCTAATTTATGACCAAAATGTAATTTTAGGAATGAAAAATTGTAGTGATTGTTAATAGCTTAATATAAATGTAACTTCAATATCCAGAGGGGTTAAGCAATAAAGAGGCTCTCTAGAGGTTTTTACTTTTTACAGAGCAAAACGGTATGGTCACTTTTACATTAAAATAATTGTTAGTATATTTTTTATCACCCCTTTCAGTCGCAGTTGCAAAGAATCTTTGTAACTTTCCCTCCATACAGGCCCTGAATGCAGCAATTCTGTTTTTCAGGACTGCACATCCTACCCAAAGTCATACATCATGGTAGTCATAGTTACATCTCTTTGTTTAGTATCTGGTTATAGGCTTATAGTCATTATGACCCCAAACTTATAGGCCTGTTTTACTAATCCTTGCATGCTAATCACACCAGTTGCTCATGCTCCAGGCGAGGAAACGTTTTTGTCAAAGGGGTTTTAGTCTGTAAGAAGAACATGTTTCAATCTGAATGGTTTTACTGAAGCTTAATAGCTGTGAGGGGAAAAGGACGAGCAAAGGGTGTGGATATGAACTTCTGAGGCACAAGACAAGTGTGTGAGATAGTTTAGTTCTTCCTTACAATACAAGGCGGCAACTGTCAGCAAAAGTCTTTTGGCTCGTTTCTGTTAATGGAGATGCAGTGTGTGTGTTGACCACGTGGTACAGGTGGACTAACATATAAATGACAAATACTTTTTTTCCCCCTGTGCCTCTTCACTCATTTATGGATGCACGACATTTAAACATTTGTGGTTCTTACAGTCCAACATGTGAGTGAAATATGATAAAGCTACAGTAGCTTTGTTCAGACTGACTCTGCAGTATTTTTTATCAGGTCATTAAATCCTTTGTGTTCAAACATGCTTGTGTATCAGCCATGGATTGCTGTACTAATGACAAAAGGCATTTTTACTCTGTATGCTGGTGACACATTCACATTGGTGAGAAATTGAGATATTTCAAATTACTGTGCAATCAATTGTGCTGTCAAAGCATCGCAGAACTCCTCTGTCACAACAGAACAACTCAGTGAAAAGGTTATTAGTTATTAGTAGCAGCATGGACTGAGCTCATCTTCTGAGATGCATGTCTTCTACTTACTATTTAACATAATCTTCTATGTCATGTTGAAGGTAATTTATGATCCCTCAAATCTAAAATCTGACCAGTCAAAGTGAACAGACAGTTCAGCAGAGACCCAAAAGCAATTACTTTTCATGCAGCTAAATGTGGCTAGGATTCAAATGACAAAAATTACATTTCAAATGTTGTTGCCATCCAAACTTTCTAATATCATTCTGAAAACAATCACATTTGAGCAGCCAGTCTGAACAAGACCTGACGCAACTCTGCTGTTTTCACATACATGTTTGTGGTTTGGACAATACAACTTATAGCCTGTTTTTGTCTTTGTAAAACCTTTTCTATAACATTCTAAATACTCAGTTTGGTTTAAGTGCTGTGTGAGGTGAAGCATGCAAAAGTACGACCAAGAGGGCTAATTTTTATGGAGAATGTTTTTGCATTGATATCACTGAAACATATTCGAGACCATATCCAAACAAAAACAAAAAGGTGGAGAACAACACATAGCCGCATGAGGGGAGCAGAGACGAGTATGAGGCAGCAAAACTTTGTGCAACACGAGCAGCATCAGCAACAACACGTGGCCTACCCTGCATATATACACCTCAGCTCACTTGAACAATAAACAAACGTTTTACAATGTGACTTGTATGGTAATGTCCATTAAATGTCCGATCAGTGAAACATAGTGAACTAAAATGTTAAAGTTGCAAAGCCATCAAACAGATCAATGTGCTGGAAGGTGCCATGAAGATCCATCAATGTTTATATGACTCACTGTGTTAGAAACTATATCCCAACATGGATATTGTACCTAAAGAAAGGGATAAAAAAAACAATAACTTCTGTCATAGTCTATCTGCATCATTATCCTCAATAAAGGATGTAGACAGAAAGTGGAAGAGATTAATGTGGGCAGTGCTCAGTCTCCACCCACATGGTATTACTTTGATTGCGTGTATCGATTTCTTGTTTGTGTCAATGCTCTCTGCCTGTCTTGCCTCCGAGAAAAATAGTTCACACAGACTATTAGCACGATCACTTAGACTGCAGCGCTATAGCATGCTTTTAATCGCTGCTACCCGGCTCACTAATGACAAACCCATGGAGAACCATTTTTAGAGCTTTTGAACTGATTAAAATTCAGGGTTTGCCAGTCATCTCAGATAAGAGAACTGTTTAAAGCGCCTCTGAAGTCAAATTAACTCATGCCCTTTGCATGCAGCCAGATCTTGTCAAAATCAAATAGTGATCAGACAAAAAAAATTCTCCGCCCTTTCTCCCTTGGTTTTGGGTTCGTTCATGGTCCATTGAGAACTGTGATGCAGCTTTTTTTTTGCTGTGTGATGCTGGATCCTAGCCTAGCTGGTCAGCATCTGCTGCAGCATTCTGGTGACACTGCAGGACCGGCCTGATCTGAGCACACTGTGAAAACCAAAGTGTTATTTTCAGACTGCATTTCCTGAGTGTCACGAATGAGTAAGTATTTGACTCTTCTCCAGCAACACCCTGCTTCACACTAATGCACTTTCATGTTTCGACTTCATGCATTTCCCTGGACCAGTAGAGGCTTGAGGGAAAGTGTAGTCGATATTTGTGTGATCAGATTTCAGTCGTAAGTGTGACCACTTTCAAGGATTTGGCCACAACTTACTGAGTGATTGACAGCCTTCAACGCAGAAAACAAGTACAGATGCACAGCGATGGCTGTGTGTGTGTGAAACCACCAGAAAACCATTCAATTAACTCTGCGACTTTAACTAGCTAAGATTCTCAGTAGTACCATCTGTATGTCTCTTGTGATCGTTTTGAATGTCTCGGAGGATTCAAGTCTTCACATTTCAACACATTAGAGCGGTGAAAATCCAGAATGAAAATCACTGAAATGTTGTGACTGAGTGGGCAACTGCTGCTCAAATACTAGCAGCCAGCTCCATCTGGCAGCTCTGTACTATAAAGTACTATGAAGACACAGAGCCAGGCAGACTACACACTACTCTTTTTGGGAATGTTTCATCCCCTGCAGACAGTTAGGAAAACAGTACAGAGTGGCTGCAAAAACAAATCATAACATTTTCTCAGGGCATTTGGACAAAACAGAAATCTTACCAACAGCAAGCTTTTTAAACTTTGAGCGTTAAGCCCTGGGTATAAGCAAAGGCATGTCATCAGCCTTGCCTACAGTGGTTTGGAGCGTTGGATGTGCACATCCTCAGAAATTAACGCTATACATCCCCGAGATGCAATATAACAGCTAGGAGCAGTGTAGGGTTGAATGGTAACCAGACTGGTTGTGACAACATCGGTGACACCAGAGAGCTTCTACAACAATGGCGGAAAGTTTCCTGCAACTATGCAAATCTGGAATCTCTACTTCTGTGTTTTACCGAGGACTGATTTATGTAGTGCTCCCTCTAGAGGAATCCTCCAGTAACATGAGTTTTACAAAGAAAAGTATGTGAACATTTATGTTCATGATGCAGCCGGTTGTTTATGCGGATGCATGGTTAAAAAGAAACAAAAGAGCAATAAAGTATAGAAAAACTCACTCATACATGCAGTATGCAGTATAGGTCATATAAGCTCTGCATCCTCCATATGTAAACAATAAAAATTAAAGTACGCATCAAATAAACTTTGATAAAACTTGGTTTCTGTCATTAGGCTATAGGTAGTTCTTAAAATGCTGGTTGATGTCAGAGTGTTCACTTTTTTTAGAAGTTTATCATTCATTTGATATTTAATGCCTATTAAGGGGATTAACGTCATTTTCTGCAGCTTGTGCCCAAAAGTTAGTTTGGGGAAAAAAATCCTGCTTCAGAAACCAGACACCGTTTCCAAATGACATCTCCAGCAAAGTATGTCAGCATCCACTTGGGGTCTTTTGGCTTCATTTGTGTAGAACGGGAGGAGTTGTCCATCTATATACAGTATGGGCCTACAGTAAATGGTAAAACCTGGCAACTTTTACTGCTGACAATATATAAAGACTACAAGTTCACATTTTCACTGTGTTAGCATTTTCAACTTTTTAAAGTCACTAGTTGTTGGCTATAGCCTCAAGGCACCATGACTCAGCACAATGTGACTTTCACTCTTTACAACATTACAAGCAAACACAAAGGGATGGATCACGCACACAGTGGGTTAAACAAACAGCATTGATCCATGCATGATTCAGTCGGTCTCTGATCTGTGTCCAAGCAGCACAAAAGAAGTACCAGAGGGGCTTTGGATGATCAACAGTCAGTGCTCAAACACATCCAGGCCTACATACATCCTCAGGGTTGAATGGGTTTTTCTGGATTAACAGCAGTGACTCAGTGTTGGCTCCCGTTGCTGTCTAACTGTCTGTAAACCTCTGTTTGATAGCATTTGCCTCTCATCTGGGTGATGCACAAGGTGTTCACAGAGACTCTTGAGCTTAGCTGGTGTGAGTCACACTTTTCCACTTACACACACACCTTCCCCACCCTGACTTAATCTTTGGGGTGCAAGTCGTGAGTTGATTTTCCTCTGCAGTCTTCTCTCCTTTGTGTATCTGCATCTTTACTAGATAATTTTTTCATACGGACCAGTTTTAACGTCTAAGCTCTGTCACTCTTTTAATAAACACTTAGATTTTCTTTTTTTTTTTAAACACTTACAGTCAAGCTATGTGCAGCATTTTTTTTTTTTTGATTTAATAATGATTCAAGGTCATATTCCTCCAAGGACACTGTGACTTTTAATGAAGAAACTGCAGCAACTTCTCTGCTGCAGACACAAGGGAATGGGCAATGAGTGTGTGTGTGGTAATATCCATCACACTATCTTTGTGTGTCCTGGTATTACGCTTTCCAAAATGGTGCACCACCTTCTCTTTTCACTCTCTACCTTCTCCTCTTATACTTTACCCTCTCAAACCTGCCTTCTTAGCCCTTTATCTCCTTTCTCTACCTGCTCTGTGTTTCCGTCTGGTCAGCACAGAAGCCGCTCGCTGATGACCTCACTCGGGATACGTCTAGCTGCTGAAAGTGTTACGTAACAGGCGTAGCTTCATGAATCCTGCATGATGTGCTGTCATGTGGTTTTGATCTGTTGTGATGGTGGTTAGAAGAAGAGAAGATTCTGCCTTCTCTGTGAGATTAAAATGTTCATATGGAAATTCTGGGAAAAAATAATCAATATTTGAAGATCATGTTACACAATAGAAAAGCATTTCCAGTTGTGTGCAATGTACTATTCTGTTCCTTTTCATACCATTTCAGTCTGTGTTTATACACTCTGTAGGGCTGCGCAGTGAATGAAGATTTTATCGTTATCGGGAGATAAGCCATCGCATTAAATACATCCTGAAAGTCTCAATTTATCGCAATTTAAAAAAATTATGTTTTTTTAATGTAGTCAAGCAATGCTTTTTCACTCAACATGTGTACATTGCAGCTATTGGATGGGTATGCCTGGGTATAGCAGCCATGCTTTCACACCGTCTTGATGCAGTCAGAAGAAGCTAAAGCTAGCTATAAGCTTAAGCTTCATTAAAAAGTGTGAATTTAGTGAAGGAAAATAACACTTTTTATTTATTTTGGATTTAAGAGGACATGCATGTTTTATGCAAATGTAGGTATTGCATAAAACATGAACAGCAGCTAGACATAGAAACAGTGTTATAGCTTATATGCCGTCTATATTTTCTGTTTATTTATCGCAATATTGCATGTTTGTTCTTATATCGTGCAGTCCTACACAATAGAAAAACATTTCCATCTGTGTGTCAGTGTGCCAGATACTATGCTGTTTATTTTCTTTAACCCCTTTTTTACAGAGTGCATAAACAGAAAAAGTGGAAAGATATGAACACGTACCTCAACCAAAAATAACTAAATATAGTAACAGTAGCTGCATGAAAAACATGACACTATCATAATATGATAACTCCAGATGGTTCCCATGATGCCAGACCTGGTGTGCTATCTGTGTTTGTGCACATGAGTTTGTGCCTGAAGGAAGAAGGCAGATGAAGGAGGATGACGTCATGAAATCAAAAAATCCATTAGGAAGGGGATAAGAGGGAAGAAAAGAGAAGTTAAAGAAACAGGAGGCAAGAGAAAGGAGAGGAAAACATGAAGAAAAAACATTGAAATGGTTCTTACAGTAATAAATGATGAACAAATAAAAATAGAAAAATCCTGATTAATTTCCTCCAGCTTTAAGTCTGTTACTAGGAGTACTGGGGTGACCCAACTGGGGCACTGACTTATGCAGGGGTGGCATGAAGTGTGATGTGTGCACAAGCTCACTCAGATAAATATCAATGATTCACCCTTACTAACCTCACCAATCTCATCTACTTTTAAAACAACATTAGCTTAATGTTTTAATTACAGGAAAAGAAGATGTATGTTAAAGTCATGATTTAAAGTTCTTTAAAAGAGTGCATGCAAACTCCTGCACTGTCCAACTTGCAATGTTTTGGTCCTGACACAAAGCCAGTTAGTTTATTGTCAGGAATTCAGAGTGCATTACTTTCCTATGCACCTGTCTGATGAAATAGATGTGCAAAGTTTTTATTTAACATTTAAAGTACAAAATAAAAGAAAATATGCTGCATTTATAAGTAATGAAAGCTACTAGCTGCCATCCACAAAAACAAAACATATATATGGCAAATAGCCAATAGCCAATCAAAGTTCAAGATTTTTGGGGTGGCACATCAGATTTGTAGCCTATGCCTCCCCTGACCATCCCTCAGGAAACACCCCTGGCTGTAACACACCTGATCTAGACCAATCAGCCACAACATCATGACCACCTGTGCAACCTATTATAAAGAAATACAACAGCTAAACTACAAATTTCTGTTGTATTAAGATACAAAGCAAATTGAAAAATGTTTCCACTTAGTATAAACTATTGTCCGGTCAGTAAACAGTCCTGCTGAAAACTGTGTATACATGTGGGAGAAACATTTCATAGACAAGGTGGTACTCCCTCTGAGGAGAGTGGAGTTTCCCTTTAAGACAAGGACTGTGAATATGACGTAGCATATTCCTGAGGACACACACCCTCACACACAAAAGATAACACAGACGCAGTTCCCATCTGGCATCTAGCTATTCTTTTGAAAACCACTCAAAGCAATGATTCTGCAAAAGCATCAATGATGGAGAGCAGAGAAAGGAATATGAGCTCAGATATGAATAAAGCTCAACAGGAGGAAGTTATGTATACAAAACCTCTTATTTAAAGTAGGTAGTAGAGAGATACAAATATCAGGCTTTATTTCAAATAATCCATGCATGTCCTCTGTCACTGTCATTGGAGTGGGAGAGAGAGGACAGTTTTAACAGTCAGCAGTGGTTGGCAGAGGTACAACACAGCATGCAGGAAGGTGACCTTAAGCAAGAATCATGCATTTATGCACACGCACAAATGGGCTCTGAAGAGCTTGCTAAGCTGTGTGAAATGTGTTATTGCTGCAAATAATCCTCCTCTTTGCCCTCCGTTCACTGTTTCCTTCTTTCCAGCTTTATAAGGTCACTCACAGGGATGATTATTTATCATTTATGAGATGCTCTGTCCTCACTTAACAGCATCCCCACAGCCATGTGTGTGTGTGTGTGTGTGTGTGTGTGTGTGTGTGTGTGTGTGTGTGTGTGTGTGTGTGTGTGTGTGTGTGTGTGTGTGTGTGTGTGTGTGTGTGTGTGCAGGAGGAGAGTACTAGAAGAGGCACATGGGAGCTCTCACACACATGAACAAACACAGAGTTTACTGCGCTCACATACTGATGCAGATGAAAATGTCAGCTCCTTTTTGCAGAGTTCTGCTGCTCTCTCTGGTACTTGGCCAGAGATGAGACAGATGAGTGATGATTGGTTCGTTCCCCTAAATGGCTGTGCTCTGATTGGCTGCTGAAACTCAATGTTCTGTCTTTGCCAGCTAAGTGTCAGCGTGAATCTGTGGCACCATGCTGAGAGCTGAGGCATCAAGAGCCAAACACAGTCGGTCAGCAAAGCTCAGTTTGTGTGACTGTATTTGTGTGTGTGATGATGATGATGATGACCTTAATAGACCATTGTTTTTCTTACTTTCTCAAGGCTGAGACCTCTCAGTCTCTCCTCTCTCTCTCTGTCTGTGTCTTAGTGCATGTGGTCACTCACTGGTCATGTCTTTGTGTTTCCCTGCAGGCTCTCAGTGTCGAGCTGAAGAACGCAGAGACAAACAGAGGACAGAAGAAGCTAGAGGTTCAGCAAGAGGCTCTCTGGCCCCATGTCTGCCCCTGCACCAGCCAGTAGGAGGTCTGGGTTGGGCTCTCGCCGGTAGGTAGCCAATGATGCTCTGTTACTTAGTTTGTAAGATCAGTGGTAACATCTTTGAAATAGGATAATCAGCAGAAAACATGATAGCTGCACAGTTAAAAGATGAAGAAACCCCCATTAATGCATATTGCAGTGTGAGAGGGAAGCATGGCATTTTTAACAAGCATCAGAACACAAAATCATCTGAGTAGCTAAAAATTCATAGTGATGCAACTTTATGGAACTATTAAATTAGAATTAAAAGTTTGTGTACACTGTCTTTACTCAAGAAAGGATAGAAGTGCTGCTTTCTAGTAAAAATCGGTGTCTGTGGAATTGCATATACAGCGTCCTTAATAGGATATGGATTATTGTTGCTTCCCAGCTGACCCTCATTGATTATATTGTAATCCAAGACTTGGTTACAATACAGAAATAACTACACTTCTCGGAAGGATAACAAAGATAACAATTTTGTTTGATGTTTGAAAGGTTGATTGGAGAGTGAGAGAGGATTTTATGCTTAGCTATGGAAATAAGAGAAAACCAGGTATTTCAGCGCTGGACTGTGCTAATACTTTCTCTCAATAGACTTGGCTGGTTTGTTTGATTATTTCTGTCACTCAATTCAGTCAGACAATCCCAAGTTGTATTTGTTCCATATTTCTTTTTCTTCTGCAGCTGCAGCAGAAGAACATAGTTTGCGTTTGGCGACTAGGCTCCGACCTCATCACTCCTTGCTATTTGATTTTACATGCAGGTATTTGAGGAGTGATGGGATGGTATCTTAACCCCCCCCAGTCGGACCCTTCAGGTGGATGCTGGGGTGCTGGTAGGGCAAAGTAAAAGTGCAGTTCTGATGCAGGTCAGACATGGCAAGAAAAGATCAGAGGGAGAGACCAGAGATCTTGTAGGCTGTATTTATCAGACATGGTTATTTTTAATCTCAACATGTAATGTAATCCATTGTTTCAATTTTTTTTTATCTTACCCACCTAAGCACTACTTTTAATCTAATTAGGAAGCATATTATACCAAAGTTTTATTGGATTGTGGGTTGCCAGGTTGTGTAAAGGCTCTCTGGCTGATGTTTATCCTCCACCCACAAAATAACCTTTTAAATTCATAACTGCTCCAATTGACAGTCTGACCTCTGACCTCTCTTTGCAGAACATCTTGTGTCTTAACAAAATAAAGACAACTTGATTTCTGTGATGAGCCTCATGTCAGTTGAGAAAACTCTGACCTTAAATTGAATAATAATAAATTAGATTATTATATAGCGCTTTTCTAAATACTCAAAGACGCTCAATGACTTCTTTAAGGGAATTGTGTTTTTGGGTTTGTTCCAAAGCTTGATCATGCTAAATGTAATAAACTGAAGCAATACATTCCTCTGTGTTCTATACTGACTGAGGAAGAAAAAATGTGCATGTACCATAATGCATTGCTTAATCAGCAACACATTTGTTTTTCATCTGCTGTGTGCGTCATCCCAGCTTGACAGAGATGAGGTTGGAAATCGGAAAAATGTTCTCTTCAGCATCTGGGACTGCAAAACATTTGTTCTAGAAGATAATATATGGTAAACTAACAAATTACTTTCAAAGAATCAATAACAAGAGAGAATTTTGCAAAACCTGGCAACCATAAAGCTCTTCTAATGACTAACTTATAAATAAAACCATAACTCACTTTTATTTTTTTACATTTATAAAAACCTCTATAAAGAGTGCTATCTTAGAAGGTGCTATCTAAACCCTTTTTCTCTTCAAGGTTGTGAAGCATTAACAAAGTTTGTGTGTGCAGTTTTTTTCCAATTAGCTCTTACATTCCTGGTGAAGATAACTGAGATAGTATTGACAAAGAGATGGAGGTGGCTGACTGCATTAAGTCTATTTTAAGTCCTTCACCAGTAAACAGCACGTTTACTGACAGCTGAACACAACGTATCGAGTGTTTAATGTGTTTTCTCTTACAGCTACAGGACTCCCTTTGCCTGATTACCAGATAAAAGTCAAGGCTGGGCTGATGTGGTTTCATGGTTTATTGGAACTAGTGATGACTGTGTCCACATGTAATGTTCTCGAGTCATCTGGTTAGTGGTGGTTTCATTAGTATGGATGCTGTGTAGCTACAGGTGTTTAAATCTGTAGCTGTGGTGTCTTTCTCTGTCTTGTCTCTTTTCCTCAGATTTAACCCTCTGAAGGCGCTGCAGCCAAAACGACGCTTGCAGCAGATGCTTGCGTCCTCGCCCGTCCCGGTGCCGAAGCCGGCGTCGGGTTCTGGGTCGGGGACGGCTGCATCAGGGGCCACGGCGCCAGTGGCCATTCCAGTGCCTGCGGCCCCTGCGTGAGAATCATTTCAGTTACATACTGAGATAGCATGATCCGTAGCTGTAGCGCCGGCATGCACTGTAGCCACTAAAACAGCACACAGGCAGCATTTATGCTAACTGCCTCACTTAGACATGGTTTTCCCTTTGTTTTTCCTGAGTGTTGCTAGATTCCGCCCTCCTTTGTTACTGTTGCCATGCTTCTTGAGCTGTTAATACTAAAGACTTGATGTCAAATTCACCATAAAAAAAACAGATGGGTTCCTTAGGCTACTTTCATTACTGGTTGAAACCACCAAATTTCGGATACTTGAGTTGATGAAAAATTGTACAGTTTGGACAAAAAAAAAAATGGAACAAAACTAACAGGTTTAAAAAGCGCTGCATTGGCTTTTTGACAGGTTTTTTTTTTCCAGCACACACTCCAATGAAAACAGCTCTGTGACCCACTTTTGGGTCCCGACCCACCAGTTTAGAAACACTGATTTAGACGGTTAAGCCAACTATAGTTTCATGGGCTGTTTTTTTCTTGTAAAGCAGAGTGCTAGACAAAGGGCCTTTCTCAAACCACTCTGTCCACACTCACTCCAGCATGGAGTGAACTCCGTCTGATGTCTCGCCCACTGTGGAGTGAAGTACCCTTTGTTAAATTGCAGGTGATAAATACAGCAGCAAGACATGGGACGGATTTGGTGAAATTACTTTTGTACAACATGTACACAATCCTTTCAATGTAACGTTTATAGGATGATTAGTTTTGCAAGTCCCTGTAATCCAATCCACTCCTGACAAACTACTAAATTATGATTGGTTGATCAACGATTGGGGGCGGGGCTTGGTATGCGGTCAGTTACTGCAGCTCTGCCCTGCCTGAATTATTGAGGCTGAAATGTTAAATTCCCATTCCAGAGATTTTAGTTAAGTCCCAGCTCCACTGCAACAGCATGAAGAGAACACTGAGATCCTAACTGGAGCTCTCAGTGTTCAAATCCTGCTTTGAAGTCGGCATCGACCACAGACTGCATTGTTGTGTCACATCACCAGCGAGTCCATAAACATCCTGGCAGGGAAAAACAAGGGAAACCCTGATCTATGTTGTGCTATGGAGGCATACTTTGATCACAAGCCATCTTAGCTCGACACAGCCACTCTATCGATAGCTCCATGTTATCGTTACAACCACTAACATGTTTAAAATCAGAGAGTTGGTGAGATATCAACTGAAGGAACATCTCAAGAACTCTCTTCAATTTACCACCTTATGGTAAATTTGGTTCACTCCATGGTTTGAAGCCAAAACAAACAGATCATTCTGTCATCTGATTTATTTGTATGTGCTTTAATGCTTTGTTAGGTCTGTCTTCACAATCAGACATGCACAGAACTTTACATTTTTTAATAGACGAAGCATCACAAGAAGTTCTTGATCTAGGAGGGGAAAAAAATCACAGTAGTGTCAAATGTTTGTATCAGGGATTCTAGTTACCTTATTAACCAATTGAGAGTATGCTTTTAAAAGGCTTGAAATTCAGTTTATCAAAATTATTCAAGCATTTTCAGTCACTATTCTACCTGACTCCTGGGCAACACTCAGCTCATACAGTACACCTACAACTGTTCTAACAGACAGTCAACCAACTCTCACAGTCCAGACAAACACCACCCTAACATCAACAGGATGTTTTGATGGTTGTACCTTCACTCACTTCCAGGCTCACTGCTTCACCTTCCCTCTGCTCATTTTTTGTTCTTTTACAAGCTTGTGTCATATATTGATCTCTGAGGAACTGCTGAGTAGTCATCAATATCTGGCCTGCTCCCTTATTGTATCACACAGGACATGTTTGTTCAACACGACTACTGCTAAACTTTGGAGTTGCACAAAAGACAAAGAAAGGCTTCAACAGCATTGAAACTCTGAATCAACTGGCTAAGAGAACTAGGCTACATTTTTCAGTCAGTCACAGGAAGACAATTTTATTTTGCCTTTTTTTTGGCTCATAGTGGTCGGGAGGAGGTAGGTGGGAAAACATGTGATAGGAAGCAGGAAGTGTGGGCATGAAAGCGGTTCCAGGATACAATAACAAATGCCCCAAAAAGGAAAACGCAAAACAAAACAGCAGCCAAGCACTGCAATAAGAGCTTTTAGATACTTTAAAACATGTTAAATGCAGACATTTTTTAAGACAGATTGCCAAAAAACAATGTTTGATATATGGAAAACAAAAAGCTTATTGCTAATTAAAAGGGACAAAGATCTGTCTGAGTCACAATATAATAAATGATAAATAAGAAGCTTAGCCTCAGAATCAGAGCGGATCTTAACAGTGACAGGTTGGCAGATACAACAGTGACTTTCTAAAATTAACAGGCATGACTTCTTGTTTGGTACTAATTCAGAGAGAGGATCCACAAGCAAACTGTCAGATGTGTTTGATACTAACAAAAGTAGAACAAAATTACTTATGGTAATTGTGTCCATGGGGAGCAGGCAAGAATCAAAGATCCAGGAAAACAAGGTGTCAACAGGAGCCAAAACTTAAAAAAAAAAGATTACTGGACTGTTTTTGTTAATGTTAAATTACCTCATTATTATAGCAAAGAAGAAAACATAACTTCTGGACTTTTGTGTATCTGTTTTGAGAGAGAATTACACATTAATGTGTTAAAGTGTCAAAAAAAAAAGTAACCATTGTGGAATACTGAACAAAGCTAACCATCTCCAGTGACTCGTGAAAAAAAAAAATTGGAACATTTTATTTGAGCTACATTTTCCAGATTTTTTTTTTTTTTTTCAGACATCTTTTTGAAAGTGGCTCCATATAACTTGTACTTTTACATGAGCTAAACGCTAAAACAAAGAAGCTCAAAATGTCAGTATAAGAAATAGATTCAATTAGCCAAGCTAAAGAATAATAGCAAACATTTATCATTATACAACTGTTTAAAAGCTCATGAAGTTAAACTTATTTATTCTTTGAGAACTTACAGGGTCTCGGGGGTCTTGCGTATGAAGACACTTTAATGGGTGCAACACTGTGTTATGTTTTGGATGTCAATGCAGTGGTGTGGAGTTATCATGTCCTGTGTGAATGGCCTCCTGGCTGCTCAGATTTGTCCTGCTTGTTCCCTCCTCCCTCAGCAGAGGCCAATGTTGAAGCAACAACTGTTTCCTGTTGAAGTAAAGGTTCATCACAGCACTGTGCTTCATACAATATCACAGATGATAAAGCATTGCAAAATTTGTCATTGACAGGCAACGTTTCAGTCACCTCTTAGCGATCGAGGCTATAACTGTACTGTGATACATAACCACTATTTTCATTTGCAGGATAGTAGCAGAGGTAAAGGTGAAATTATGTGTTTATTTTATTTTTCTCAACATCATTCTCTAACAGATATGTGTGGTGTAGTACCAAGAGATTTCTTTTTGGCAAGAGTTAATAAAAGGAACAATACAACTGTATTACATTTAAAAGTCAAGTATAAAGCTAGAGTTAGTGGACGCTTAGCTTAGCATAAAGACATGGAAACATTGATGGCAACACCAATTTGGAGTCAACTTGATTAGCTTTTTCCCTCTCCCAGTCTCTGTGCTAAGCTAAGCTAGCTCTTGCTGAACAAATAACAGACCAACATGATATTGATTTGATAATCATATTATGACCTGAGGAGGGATCATTTAGCAACTTCATCATGGCGAAGCCGGACAGAGAAAGAAGAAGTACTTTCTGCTGGTGTATGGGAAGAAAAACTAGCAGAGATTTTGGTGGCTCAAGGCGTTTGGTTTTCCAAATAAAAGACATGTTGGAATGTAATTTGACACTCATTATGTGTCAGAGGTTACATTTGATAATGTCTTGGATAGGGGTGCAGAAATGCAAAATTTTCTCTAATCGATTACTCTTCCCATTGTTAAAGCGAATACTCAAGTAATCGTTTTGTAGTTCTTTTTTTTCTGTGATTCTTTTCCCCCACGGGAGGCCCCGCCCCCGACTATGACATGTTGCCGACTGTATCTATTGATTAATTTGAATCTTCAGGATTTTAATAATTGTTAGTAATAGGCCTACTTTGTATTAACGTTCAAATTAGGACATTTCTTACTTCAACAGACAGCAAACCTTAAATAAAAATTCACATAGACGTATCTTATGACCGTTTTAACACTTTATTATAATTAGAGCAGTGAGTGTGGCGAGTGGACGTGCAGACATCAGTGCGCACTCATCGCACGTTGAAGCTGTTTTGACAGAAACATTGTGTTAACGAAGACTACAGTCTGCAGTGTAGAGCACACTTTACTCTTGCACTTTCTGCTTATTTGCACTTCTGGTGAGATGCCAAACCTCATTTTGTTACTCTATACTTCTTATGTGTAATGACAATAAAGTTGAATCTCATCTCATCTCATCTCATCTCATCTCAAATGAAGTTACAATAGAACTGGTGAACTGTTTCATCTTTGTCCTCTGTGCATAATGACACACTGGCTCAATCTCGCTCCTCCGTCCGCTATGAGCTCTGTCTCCCTATAAGGTTATTCGTTTTTGTAGTTATTAAAAGATTTTAAAATAATCATCTAAAATACCAAAATATAGGAAAACGTCTCGTTATGCTGCTCTGTCCTGGATGATCAAACGTCATTGGTTTGGTGGGGTAAAGCGGTAATCGCAAAGTGAAAGTCCTTCTTTTTCTGTGGACTAAAAACACAATTTGAACTGAACTTTCGTAGATCATATTGCATATTTCATGTGTTTGGGACTTTCTGTTCATTGTGAATTCATAAAGGGGTAAATTAAAGGGATATTTTTGTTAGAGTAGCAGCGTACGGATCAACAACGGACGCGTTTCAGCACAGAGCCTTTATCAGCGCTTTGTTTGGTTTTCCAAATAAAAGACATGTTGGAATGTAATTTGACACTCATTATGTGTCAGAGGTTACATTTGATAATGTCTTGGATAGGGTTCGATTACTATTCCCATTGTTAAAGCGAATACTCATTAATCGTTGTAGATGTAGTTATCATCTATTTTCTTTTTGCGCTCGTGCACCTGAAGTTTTATCTCTGTTTGAGTGTGCTCCTTTTTTCTGTTTTGAATTAGGCCTATCCTAGAACCCACAATAATAATAATGTATACTTCATTGATCCTGTCTAGTTAACATGCTACACAAACATAGGCTGAAATACACACACATGCATAAACAGTGTCCTGTGGACATGCACTAATGGAGAGGTTTCAGGGTGAGGGGGCTGCCTCCTGAGGTGGGCACTCCTGGGCTGGTGGTGAGGGGGTTGGGTGCCTAGCTCAAGGGCACCTCAGCAGTGCTGAGGAGGTGGACTGGCATCTCTCCAGCTACCAGGCCAATTTCTGGACTTGGTCTGTGCCAGGACTTGAACCAGCAACCCTCTGATTCCCAACCCAAGCCCCTACAGACTGAGCTACTGCTGCCCCCAAGAATAAGAAACAACAAGAAACAACAAGAAACATTTACAAAAATGTGGACTACAAAACGATTATCGATTAAAAAAAAATTGTAACCGATTATTATTTAATGTTTGCACCCCTAGTCTTGGATGTATACCTAAGACTTGTTAGTTTTGAAATGCTTTAGATAATGAAGTTTCCTTATTAACTGCTAATGCTGTTGCTGCCACCCCCTGCTTCCCTAAATCATCAGAGACTCTAAACACTTACCTCTTGTGATTTGTATTGATGGAAGCAGAGTGTTTGCGTTCTGCTCCAACAAAGACCTTACAGTCACACTATTTGACAAACTACCTAAACTTTTAAAGCAGTGTTAGAGCCATCTGCCTTTCCCTTTGTAAAGCTTTTAGTGAGCTAACTCTCCCACTTTGGTGTAGAGAGCTTGTTGATGTTAAGATTCTTCCTGCCTGTATCCTAAGCCCCCTCAACAATACAGTGTGCACACATGTAGCATGCACATTGTATTGTTCTGGTGTTGTCCTCTAGTGTCCTCATTGATTTAACATACTGTTGTCTCTGCCTGGTCAGGTTTGACTATTGCAGGTTCATAGAACTTGACTACGTCCCCATGGAGACAGGCTATATGGTGTCAATGCGCCCGACTAAAGGCCTTGCAGCAACAAAATCGCCGACTAAAGGATACACTTCCACCAAGTCTCCTGATCGCCACAGCCGCTCTTCAAACTCTCCCTCAACCCCTAATTCCCGGTCTGTTCTGGGCTCCTCTTCTCTCCTTCTAAACAGAGTTGAAATCTCTAAAGCATGGGAATGATGAGACCATTTGCACTGTTGTAAATGTTTTATGATCGTCCATTTACCATATTCACACAGCAACCAACTTCTTCTGATGTCACAGTGGGAAGCTCAAATACTGTTATGACTTGGACTGTTGTTCTCTAGATTGGGATTTTCCAAAAAGTAGGGGATCACACAAATAGCTTTCTACTGGATTTCAATTTGGCCCGAATTGAAAAGACAATTGACAAGTAGAGGACATCCGGTCACATTTCTGGTTAAAACAACATGCTAACATTGCTATTCTACTTCCTCATAACTAGCTAGCAAATAAGTCTGACATTTGCTTCCATTTCTATGCTAGCTAGCTTAAACACTTTTTGCTAATTAACATGTGGCCTATCATATTATGTAAAAGTAATGTTAACCAGGAAAAAAGGTTGAAAGCTAACGTTGGCTATGGCGCTGATCAATCTTGAAGCAGTGAAATAGTAACAATTGGTCAAACAAACCTCAATTTATGATATTAAAAAACTTTAAACCCAGAAATGCATGACATTTTGCTTTTGATCAGAGAGTTTGAGCTTTCCACCCAGAATTTGATGACTTCTTAGAGAGTAGTTTCCATAGCACTCTTTCTAATTGACTTGTACCGCCTTTGTTTCTTATTGGTCTTTCTTTTTATACTTTTCACTTGTCATAATCTGTAATGAAAGCTATGCACTTATCCACCTGATTTTGTACATCTTTAGGAATGCTTCTTGTAATTGTTTGATTGAGTGTCCCATTTGTTTTGTGATCTTGGTTTGGTTTTCAATTTCTCTTTTTGAAACTGCACCATCACTGCTGGTGGCCAAAAGAGTGTGTGTCCTTGTTTCAAAGGTAGAACTGTAGTCTGCTAGCTGTGACTTTGGCCTTCGTGTTTGTGAATATTGTGCATTGTTGTGTTTTGGCATGTTGATGGACCCGTGACGATGTTTTCTCAACCAATTTCTTGCCGTAATGGTTTTACTCAACAGCTCACAGAATCCAAGGTCACCTTGTTGCCTTAAGCGTGATTTCAGGGTGTAACAAGAAACAGATTAACCTGTCTCCTCTTATTTTATATCAGGCGGACACCAGCCCAGCCCAGTAATAGAGATCCTTATGGCAACACCTCCCTCAGCAGCAGCAGCAACTCAGGCTCTTGTAAAGGCAGCGACTGCAGCCCAACCAAAGGGTAAGGATTCAGGAAGTACTTGCACACACTCATGGTGTAAGACACTATTTAAATGGACCAAGCGTATCAACTAATCGCATTCACACTATGAGGTTAATGCCACCGGGAGCAATTTAAGGTTAAGTGTCTTGTCCATGTGCACTTTCACGTGAGGACTTTAGGAGCTGAGATTGAACCACCAATCTACCGACTGTAAGACAAACAACTCTACCACTGACCCCCAGCAGCCCCTAAGAATTGAAAAGTTTCAATATTATTATATGTTTGGAAATAAGTTTTTTAAGAACCCAAAAATTAAAATTTGAATTTCTATTGTCCTAGACGTCATAAAAAGTATGGTTCATGTACGGAAAACCATGGTATCAGACCCCCACCACCAGAGCAGTACCTTACACCTCTGCAACAGAAAGAGGTGTGTATACGACACCTGCGGGCCAGGCTAAAGGAAACCATCACCACTCTGCAAGACAGGTGAGAAAATGACTGACTACTTCTTAGGTGTTCCTTAAGTACCTCTTCCTAGGTCTAACAACAACTCTAACCATTGTATCTTAAACCTCTCAATGTTCATGCCATGATTTTCTGTTCCTTGTTTCTCCCTTTTTCCCTATGCCATTTGAACCTCTTAGGGACACAGAGATAGATGAGCTGAGAGGCCAACTCTACAGGATGCAAGAGGACTGGGTTGAGGAGGAATGTCACCGTGTGGAAGCTCAGCTGGCCCTGAAAGAGGCGCGCCTGGAGATCCAGCAGCTCAAACAGGCTGTGGACACTGTTCGTGCCAGGCTCAGTGATGCTGGGGGGCTAAGTGGGGATGTAAGTGTCCAGAAGTACTTTCAGGACATCAACACCCAAAACCACAAGCTTGAGAACCTTTTGCTCAACATGGAGATAGCCCAGGCTGGATTAGCCAAGGAGGGGGAAGCAATACCAGGCTTTCGGATGCGTGTTGGTGGTTCAGCCCCAGCATCTGTATCAGGTGAAAGTCCAGGGGGTGTACCCAAACCAGCAGTAGGTGGGAGAGGGTCTTGCTCCTGTGATGCTTCCCCAGCCCGTTCTCTGACAAGGAGCTCCACCTACACTAAGCTGAGCGATCAAGCACTGGCGGACCGGAACAGCAATGGCCAAGACTTTCCTTGTCTTTCAGGTGATGGTACCCAGGACAGCGGCATTGTGTGCGGTGAGAGCAGTGTCCCCAGCCGGGCCGACCTGCTGCTGGAAGCTGCTTTCCTTTCTGAGGAAACAGCATCTTTACTCAACTCCTACACACAGGCATTTGCCCACTCTCTGCCCATCCCTCTGCCCCACTCACTGCCTCACACTTTCTCCCAAACCTTACCTCATTCTTTCCCTCACAATTTGTCCCACTCTGTGCCCCACACTATGCCGCATTCCGCTACCTATGACAGTGTGTGCACAGGCGAGCGAATGGCACCTTTTCGCTGCGGCCTGGGTGGAGTAGGCTGTATTAGCCATCCATGCCTGTCTCACCACCACCTCTACCTGCACCCCTTGCGTGAAACAGGCATTCAGACAGAAAGCTGCCCCATTCCTGCAACTGCAGGTTACCCATCTGATCTGGACACTATTGCTGAGCAACGCACTTTCCGCTCCCAGGCCTGCAGCCCCACCTCCACCTGGATGTCTGATGAGGGGGAGGAGGAGTTGGACTCAATTACCACTACAACTTCAGTTACCACAGCAACAGTCATGAGCACGGCCACAGAGCCGATTCCAGTGTCCAGAACACCGTCTGTCCCTACCTTGCCCCGGTCTGCAACTGTAGCATGTTCAATGGATAGTCCTCTGTGTGCGGGGAAAGATGAAGTGGAGGAAGAGGAAAAGCAGGAGAGAGAGAAAAGAGAGAAGGAGCTTCCAACTCCAGAAAAGCAGGAGAAAACATTAGTGATCAGACTGGCAGAAGAAGGGCAGCTGTCGCAAACCACCTTGGTGAAAGGCAATGAGGGGGAAGCTGAGCATGAGGTGGAAGAGGATGTTTCAGCAAAAGGTTGTGATTTATCAGAGACATCAGCAGGGATAGAGGGTAATCTAACATTTGGCGGCTGCTGTGGAGAAGGCAAACTGAGTGGGACATCAGTTGCAAATCTCAAATTGGAAGACATGCACCAAGAAAGTGGTGTATCAGCAGGAACAACCCAGGTAGAGACAACAGAGCCAACTCCAAGTGCGCCAGGATTCTCGCCAGGCACAGAACAGCCTCACACCTCCCAACCAAGGAGTTCTGCTTCCCACATGGAACTAGCTGGTGTCACTGTAGTCGAGGTCCATGATGAGGACAATGATGAAGATGAAACTGAAGAGCAGAGCACAACAGGGGGCGCCACAGCAGAAGGGGGAGATCCATCTGGTCCTGGGACAATTGAGAAAAGCTACTGGAGTCGACACTTCCTGGTCGATTTGCTAGCAGTGGCCATCCCCGTGGTGCCGACAGTGGCTTGGCTGTGCCGTGGTCCCGTCCGTGGTGGACAGCCCATGTATCATATAGGATCGCTGCTTCGAGGCTGTTGCACTGTGGCGCTGCACTCACTGCGCAGGGGAGGTGGGTTGAGGCATTACCCCGCAGGCGGGGGAGACCTGGGTGGATCACTGATTTAGGAGGAGATTCTGCTCTACACCCTGCTTGGTCCTTAAGTACAACCACAGCTGTATGGGTCTGGGTCTTCATGTTGTCGGGAGAGAGAGAGAGAGGCAGAGAATAGAGGAAGAGAAAAATCTTCCTGTTTTGCTTTTCTGATCATGGTTGGAGGCTGCGAGTAGCATCTGGTACAGGGAATGCTGATGATAAAAATCCCCAGGCCGGTAAAACTCTGTTCTGTTTGGTACGGCTTCTTACCGTCTTTCATCCACTGGTCCTTGCTGTTGCTATCAAGATGTCTGCTAACATTACTGACTTGTGCAAAACTGAATGAGCTGAATGAAATGAATGACCTACTGAATGCTTGGACATTAATCAATGATTGTTTTGTTTTTAAATGCAGGGAAATGTCAAATGTTTTGTTCATCTGTGGCTCAATTTTGACATGTAAAATGATCAAGTGTTGGTGAGTGTCTACATGAATACAGTATGTATGTATAAGAGTATGTACACGTATAATCAAATGTTCCTGTTGTTTGCAGAAGTGACTTAACACAGTGCTCTTTGACCCATGGCAAAGAGAAAACCCATTACAGATGCTGAAGCGACACCTTGTTGGTGAAAGGAGACAGTTTGGGCTTTCGATTTGTGTCTTTGACGTCGTCAAGACCAAGAACATTGAATTAATTGTTAAAGTAACAACAACATATTTTTACACTAAGACTAGAACCAGGGGAAACAGTGAGCAAAGCAAACCTACGAGCGCCTATAAAACCGTCTTCTAACATGAGTCCTTCGTGTTGTCTTTGCACAGGTAAAGTGTAAAAACAACATCATGTGGCTTTAAGGGGAATCAATGCTGGAACTATTTAATCGTTTAACAACACATCTGTCTTTCTCATAATGAGATAGAGATATTAGAACAGTAATCATAATAACAACATGAACATTAGGGTTAAGGATGGACTTCTTCCTGTACCTAAATCAAGTTTTCTATGGCATGCGCCTGAAGCCTTTGAAATAACTGAACTAAGTAAATGAACTAAATTGGATTACTTAGATTTCACATTACACACATAGTAAATCTCTTTAACTCATAAGTCTAATAGGAAGGTCATAGTATAATCAGACACGTGTTTGTAGATACTCACTGGCTCAGTTTGACACTTCGATGTAGATCTGATTAAGGTGGGTCGTGCTCAGTCTGTGCTTTGTGCTGTATATTTCTTGCTAACATAATGCTCTTGTGGTGTAGTTTAACTGTCACTCTAGTGGTGTGTATTTCAAGTCCACCATACAAGAGCAAGTCACTGTAAAAAACTTTTTTTTGTTTAAGAATCATTCTGCAAAGTATTGTTTAGTTATAGAGAATTCAATTTAGCAAATCAACAGGCTATCTAGTTTGTAATTGCATTTAGGATCAGGGTATTGTCTTTGAATGTGCTTTTTGAGAGGATTTTAATGAAAGTGGCATCTAAAGGCAACTCACTCTGTTAGCTGATCATGTCCAGATGTTCAATTGTATGTGTAATAAGGGCAAATGAGCAACATACAAATATAAGATCTGAATCTTTTTGACTGTCAAAGCCAAACTTATGTAAAGAAACACCCCCAACACAACCAAAAGAAATACTGTGATGCCTACTCAATTGTTTAGTTCTTCAGTGAAGAAATAAGCAGCGTGAACTTCCTCTGTTTGAATTATCGGTTGACATGTTTTGCACTATTGTTCACTTTATGGATTTGAAGCAATTACTTGAAGTTGAGATTGTATGTCCATTAAGTTCTGGTTGATTGTTCTGTTGCTCTTTATTTATTTGAAAGCTCTGATGCTCAATAGATCCTAAGAGTGAAATTAATGACGTTATTTCTATAAATACTATAAAGCCATTCATCCATGCTAAGAGCTACTGATCTGAGCTCTTCATATAATAGATTGTATCAAAAGACCCTAAAAGAAAAAACAGACATGTGAGTCCAAACGCTGTTTAAATCACTTGCCGACAATAAGCAGAGTTTATGCCATTTGTTCAAATTATAAAATAGTCTGTCAACGTTGACACGCATGACAATCTGTGTCTGTGTTTGGATGTTACATCACTGATGTAAAAGATCCCTAAAAGCAGCCGCAGCAGCAGCAGCAGCAGCAGCCATGAACAGTGCATTGTCATCCATGTAGATTAAATAAATGCCTCAGAGACACACAGGACTGTCTGTTCATCGCTAACACATGGTCACATTTGCGCGTCCATCACCACGTTGTGTTCCCATTATTACTGTAAAGAACTGCTTTGCTAAAGTGTATAAGGAGGCTCAAATGATTTCATGTTCTGCCAAAAGCCATAAAAGCCTGTCAGGGTACAGGCGTAAAAATGTGGGAGGCGGCCTCCTCCTCTCAATGTTACCGTATGGAAGTAATGTAAATGATGATGTATATGAGCATTGTACTTTGATTACAGTCAATCGAACTCTCCTGCTGTCACTAAATACAGGTTAGTGTCCTAAACAGAGTGAGAGAGGGAAGATTAAGTGAACTTGTGATCCTTTAAGAGGTTTCGACTTGTTGTGGTTAGCAGCAATCATCTCAACCCTCTTTGTTTTACCTCTATGCACTACAGTCTACACTTGCGTTATTTTTTCATGTATGTGAGCAGCTGATATGTTCAATACGTTAAAGGAAGAATATGTGATTTTTCACACTTAAATGTAGCAGAAATCAAGTATAGCCTCTAAAAATAACTGAGTCATGACTGTCTACAATGAGTGTGACACCCGAGTCCCACTGTCTGTGATGCTTTCAGAGCTGTATCTACAGCCTCTTTACATGGACGGGACGGCCGACCGGCTCATCCCCTCGCGTATAAAAGTTGTTTAATTGAGGGACTAGAGAAAAGAAGAATAACATACTGTACTCACTGCTTAATTGAATGTCACCTAAGCGTTTCTAGATCACGCTCATTTAGTGTAAATTCACATGCAATGTGAAGATACGAGTAAAATAAAGAGCGCTAGCATTAGCATGCTAACACAACAAGGCAGCACAGGTTGTTTTGGTTTCATGCTGGTGCTCAAGGGCGACATCTACTGGATCAAAAAGTTGCATATTCTTCCTGTAACTTGTGTGTGTTCAATCCTGTGCCCACAAGTTTTTCTTGTGCAAACAATTGTGTGTTAATAGAGACAAAAACTTGTACACTCAAGACAATAACCTTTTTTTGCAAAGTTATCATTGCACAGCTTGTGCACCAAATTTGTCATTCTGTTAATACAAGATGCTATAAGTGTGCACCAGTGTGCACAGGAGCATAATTACTAATTTAGCAGAAGTTATCTTAAAGGCTTTATATGTGATTTCTCACACTTAAATGTAGCAGAAATCAAGTCTATCCTCTGAAAATAACTCTGTGAGTCATGACTGTCTACAATGGGTGTAACACCCGAGTCCCACTGTCTGTGATGTTTTCAGAGTTTTCAGAGTCCTATCTTCACTTTGTTTACATCGTCGGGACGGCCGGCTGACTCCTCCCCTTGTGAATGAAAGTTGTTTAATTGAGGGACTAGAGAAAAGAAGAATAACATACTGTACTCACTGCTTAACTGTGTTTCTAGATCACGCTCATTTCAGGTAAATTTACATGCAGTGTGAAGATACGAGCATAATAAAGATCGCTAGCATTAGCATGCTAACACAACAATGCAACGCAAGTTGTTTTGGTTTCATGCTGGTGCTCAAGGGCGACATCTGCAGGATCAAAATATTGCATATAAAGCCTTTAAGCATACAAGTTTTAAATCTTGTTTGCATATTTTTTTTCTTTGATTTTATCATAGTGTCTTGAGACTCATGGCATTGTGAGTGATTTACTCATTAACACAGTCATGATTCTCCTCCAATCAAACTTCACCATACAGCACTTTATTCAAATCTATTCCAAGATTATTGTAATGCCAAGGAGGCGATCATCCTGAGAGCGTCTCAGCTGACCGGAGGAGGTGGGTGGTGGTGTCTAGCTTTTTTTTTTCCTTTGGTCAATATTTGAATGTGTATCGTCCTCATAATGCTTTAATCCTTGTGTGTGTGTGTGTGTGTGTTTCAAAGCCTATGTAATTAAAATTAATGTATACAGAGAATATATCAACTCGAGTCCTTATAACATCCTACCATAGAGGACATCCAATGCCTTGTATAGGAATTCAGCTGACTTCATTGCTATGAACTAATGTCATGTACATTAATTATTTTAATGGCAATAGTAGTGTGTACAGTAAAAATACATCAGTAGGCGTTTTCTCCATTCACCCTCCCACTACACTGTATAAAGACCTACAGCCCCAATATTAAACAGCATGGAGGAAACCTTTCTGTTGTGCTCACGTGTGTGTTTCTCTTCTAATTAGATCTCTGGACGTTTGACTGTCTGGATATTATGACACATGACTTGTTCAATATTCAAAAACTAGCATGAATTTGAAAGTGGCGTTCCCTCAGTGCACCGTCTACACCCGCCACCTCCGCTCTGTGCTCCATCAAAAGCCACGCCCCTCACTTACATGCACGAGTGCCGTTGGTGAAAAAAATATGTCGTCACATGATGTCTTATCAGCGGTAAGTAAACACTAAACTTTATCATAAAACGTGAAACAAAATGGCCAACGACAAACTCGCGGTATAAGCTAGTGTACACATGGGGTAGAGAACGAGCAGGGAGACGTGATTGGTTCATCAGATTGGTACCTCGTGGCAGACATTGGTCGAAGTTTTTAGAGGCTTACAACCGCTTTAAAATCTTTGAAGTGTATCTGGAGAAAATTTCCAACCTTGCGTTTAACCTACATATATAACCCTCTTCTCATAGGAAACCGTGACATTTCAACACTATAAAAATACTCAAGAGCATAGAGATCCTGAGAATACAGCATGTTAATACAACACGATTTGACTTAGTTAAAGAAAGCACTACCTAGTTTATGTGAACAGAAAGACTGTTTATTTGTTTTACAATATTATCTTGGTCACAATTGTGTATAAACTTTTAGATTTTTCGAGCATTTTCTTACAGAATGACAGTGATGTTTATCAGATTGCATACCTAGAAAATTAAAGGAATACATGCATCCAAACATGAACAGCATAAAAAGGAGCAACTTTACATATCAGGCAGAAGTTCACAAATGTGCGCTCTGCCCCCCTCAGTATAAGAAGGAATATTACAGAGGATCTCGACATTTTGCAGAGAAGAGACCATTTATTGGTTTCACCCATGATGTGGATTTTTAAACTTCAATCTGAGCATAGGATATTCAGCATTAAATTAGTACTTTCCTAAAGCTAACATGTTTGTTTCTTACGAGTTCTCTCATTTACATGAGGTACCACAAACACAATGATAAAAAAACTAACATTTTGAACTTACTATTGAAATGGAAACAGGAAAAACAACCCTTTAAAAAGGTAGTGGAAAGTGCACTTAGTGGGTGTGTCCAGCACATATCCTGTCCAAACAAATGTCAACAATCCCCCTCGAAAATGTATTTGAAACACAACAGGACCATATTTGACAACAACTTCCACTTGGCTCCTGATACCTACTGCACTGTGGTCTTTGTTTGTTTTGTGTTGGTGGACAGGACTCAATCCCAGCTGCATAGGGGAACGAACATCTAGTGCTGCCCCGTTCTCTACACTTCCCCCGGGAATGTTCCAACAAATCCAACATATCAGAGTCTCATCATGACTACATTGGCCCATAGAGACGGGAAATGTGGTTTAATGATAAATCGCTATCTCTTGAGAAGATGAAACTCTCTCTTTTATGTTCAAATCCAGGGACCATCAATGTTAGGGATGAACAAAAAGACATTTTTCTTTTGTTTTACACAAATATATGGTTTAAACTAAAGACAATGATGCTAAAATGGTTGAGTTTTACTGGCCATGTAAAAACACCTGTACACTGGAATCTTAAAACATGTCAGCAATTTCTTTTTACATTTGAGGACATGGGTTTGAACTCAGCTCAGATTTTTATGTACACACATAAGGGACAGAGAGCAGGGACGGGGAGCACAGCCGTTTTCTTTGTGGTATTAATCTGATAACTGACGGTTGGCTTTTTTCAAGATCAAAAGTCACATGACAATGATTCTTCTCCAAGATGAGGAGGAAGCTCTGGACTCGTGATAGTGTGCATGGCTTTAAAAAATAACATTTTGTACTGTCCTTAAACCTCAAATACAAAACAAGAAAAAACAGGTAATACTAAGCATACAAGGTTAACATACAAAGAAAAGAAAAGACTTGGACATGTCAAAAAAAAGAAGAGGACATTTTGAAAAGGTAAAGAAAATACTGAAATGAAGAATAGAAAAAAAAGGCATCTTAAGATTTATGTTAAGGATGAGAAAATGAAGCAAGATGATGATTGTGATGCAGGAGGTGGTTTGGTATGAAAAGAGAGAGATATACAGATATGAAGAAAGACAAGAGAGAAAGAGAGAGTGAGAGAGATATCTCTGTATTGTAGACATCCTGACAGTTTACAGTCCTCCTCCTCGTCTTCACACCTCTGGGACAGAGTGATCCATGGCTGATCGCAGGAGACCGCTGGACATCCTGGTATAAAGAATCACATCGAGGAGTTTGTCAGCTAAGATGAAACTATGTTAGTGCACCTGGTTTGGGGGGGTAAATGTCAATTGATCACTTTTCCAAAAACATACATTTGTTTTTGTTTTTTCTACAGTGACTTTATAAAGCATCCTGCTTACACAGAACAAACAAACACAGGGAGACTGGAACAGAATCAGTCGCTTTGAGACGCTGCACAGAGAACAGATTGTTGCAGTTTTTAAACACTTCAATGAGGAAGAGAACAACTGTGGAATTAAAATGTAGAAATTAGGGGTGCTGGTAGCTCAGTGGTTAGTGTGTGCCCCCCATGTGCAGAGGCTAAGTCCTCTAGATCGTGCGACCCAGGTTCAAATTTGATCTTTTCAAATTTGCTCCTTTCCCAGGTGATTACCCACTCTCTCTCCCCACTGACTCTATCCATTGTCCTATCTCACCAATAAAGGCACACAAAAAAAAAGCCAAACAATAGATCTTCAAAAAAGTTGGAAATTAGAACTGATCTTGATATGTGGTCATGAATTATTTCCTAGGATTACGGGTACAGAGGACATTCAGGATGAGGATAACACTTCTATACTATACTATATCTATTCCATTTTTTACAGTGCTTTGGCAGTTGGATATTTAGCCCGATTTATTTGAGCCAAGAACAGGGCTGATGAGATGCAGTGGAGTTACTGTTTCGCTGACTGTTCGCTCAGGATGGATATTGGAGCATGTTGGCACTGCAGACACAGCTCTGCTTTTTCAATCAGTGAAGAACTTAAGAACCACATTATTTCATTTATTCACCATCAATGATCGGAAATCATTATCAAATATGGCAAATTTTCACTCTGATCTACTGTAAACTTTCCCCCTGTGTCAATGCCTAGTGAATGATAAGAGATAACCTAAAAACATTGAGTCCTACCTCTTGATCATGTGCTCGTAGATAAACTTGGGCATGGTGGTGATGGTCATGGCGGTGGGAGAGGTGGTCAGAATGTCCTTGACCTGAGAATCCTGCAAATTTTTATTAAAAAAAGCAGTGAATTGAGGAAATGAATAACTGCACAATTTTTGATTATTTTTTTACATTTATTTTAAAATATATTCAAAGCTTTAATCACAGTGCAGGATCAAACTAAAAGCATTCATGTAAAACAGCGGACTAGAAGCAAACTATGAGCACACGACTGAGACAAACTAAACACTTTTTCACTTCACATCTGAACAGACTGACGCTGGTTGAATCTGCACTTACTTAAATTGCTGCATGGTGCCATGTTAAACTACATTTAGCCAGTATGTGAGCAGCTATTCCAATACAAAATTCACATTAGCCACCAAATATTAAACAAGCATCACAGGTTATGTGTATGTATGTTCTAATTTTAATTTTCTACAAGACATGAAAAGTGAAATTCATTTCATCTTAAAGAGTATGTTACTTTCTCATATAGGGACCATTTAGTTAACAGTTTATATCCATCAATGAGCAACACTTAAAGAGACAAGCAGTGTCTGACCTTCAGTCCAATAACGTTTTGCCCATTGATTTCACAGATGTAATGTTCAGTCAGCAGGCCATTGCGAGCAGCAGATCCATCCTTGACCAGGGAGGTGATTTTACCAGACTTGTAGATAAAGCCCACATGGCCTGAGCTGTCTTTGTGCATCGTGACAGTGCGCTGAAATGGCCTAGAAACACACACACAGCACCCAAACACGGTTCAGAAATATAAAGCATTGTGATAAAACACAGACCGTGACTTTTATTGAAAACTACCACGTTTCTGTAAGTTTACAACTATATATAAATGATAAAAAATAAATATTAACAACTTTGAGACTAATAGGAAAATAAGATAAGAAAGAAAATCTATTTGTTCAACTTCATGAAAACAAAAGTAAAATAACATGTCATCAGTTAGGTGCAAGTGATTGAAACAGCCAGCAGAGGGAGCCAAACATTTCAGCTATTACAGAAAGTCCTGAAACTTTAAAGAGAATATATCAGTTAACGCTTAAAGAGCAAATTGATTAAGCTCATGAATGAATACATTAATAATTAGTCCAGCAGCTAATCAAATAAAACTTCTCACCTTCCCTCAGTAAAACTCAAAGACTGAGAAAGTTGAATCAAGTAAAAAAAAACCAAAAAAAACAGTCTTTAATGTTGGGACATTAATGTGATCAGTTCTGCTCACCTGTCCCTGACCACGAGCTCGATGCGGGTCTCAGCGGCCGCCTTCAAAGCCTTGTGGCCTTTGTCGACACTCCAGCCGGCGCAGTTCTGTCCATTAATCTGAAGAATCTGGTCACCAAAACGCAGGCCAGCCAGGGCAGCAGGGGAGTTGGCCTGCACCAGCTGGACAAACATACCCTGAGAGAGGAAAGAGATAAAACATTGAAAATAAGTCTAAGGAACAGAGGAAGAGGCAACACAGGCAATGGGATCTAAAACAAAGGACTAACTTGGGGAAAGAGTCAAGGACATGCAGAGGAAAGAGGAGGAAACACCTTCAAAACACAGAATTAGATGGCAGGCATTACACACTGTAAACTTATTGCAGTTATAACTTTGCTGAATTACCTTATCCATCTCTGCAATGAAGTATCATTTTACATTTTTGTACACGACTTTGCAATATTATCACCCTGTTAGGTTGTTATGAGCCAACATACTTTGTATGTGTATCCATGGCAACTCAAATGAACATGCTCCATCTCACACACAGTCATTTTATTGCACTCTTATTGTCTGATCTGTTCAAGTAGAGTTCATTTTTACTAAAACATTGGTTACTACTAGAGATGAGTACCAAATACCAGTGCTTTTTTGTACCGGTACCCGATTGGTCCGTACCGGGGGTGCCATTAAGGTCATGGACTGTTTGCTTTCAGCCAAACAGCAGACAAGTCTACTAAAATAGTTTAGCCTAACAAGCTGCAGCTCGCCTTTCTTGCACATTTTAGAGGCAGTCGCTTCCGTTGTGTCTATGCGTGTGTGTGTGTGTTTGTGTGTGTATATGCATGCCATCAACCCGTCCTCTCTGTGTGCCGAGGCTCAGCTGAGAGGAGACTTGAATGTAAGATAAATATGAGCAAAATAACTGAAGGAAAGAAAAATAAATGTAATTACTGCACACAGACGCTTGTGATAGCAAAAGCTCTAACGTACTGTAAGAAGCATCACAGAGCATGTTGTGTATTAACTTTAATGGACTAATTAAATGGTAAAAACCAAGTATAACCATAAGAGCAAGACTCTTAAGGTGGCATATATTTCCATGATGTTTCTACTTAAAATATAGTCATTTTAAATTAAATTATGAAACTAATCCCATTATTGTGATGAAACCTATAGTTGCATATTTTATGTCTTATATTTAGACATCTTTCAAGCCATGTATTTAGTTTTTCACCAAATAATAAAGAGTTGTAACAATAAGTATCGGTATCGATCGGCAGTACCAGTATTGGTACCGGTATTGATCAAATCCAAACAACACCATCCATAATAATTACAAGACAGTGTGATCATTATTTAGGCACAGATGAAAGATCATATGGCAACAATTTTCAACATGCTGTTTGTTTTTGTTCTCCCAACTGCAGAATAACTGAAATCGCCCGTTCTCGCAGGATTTGTGATGGGTCTTCATACCAAGGCAGTCCTCAACATGTTATTTTTAGTTGTGATAAGACAATTTGTATCAATGCACTGGGAGATAATAGATCCTGTGCATGGTGGGAGGATGGAACTTCTAAGAATGTCCTTCCTTAAAGTCCAGTAAGACAGTAAAGCAAATGTATAGCATTACAATCCAGCTGCATCTGGTCTTAATGGTTTGTTAACTTCAGACATCAGGCCCTGTGATAAACAACGTCTAATTTCTAACTATTTATCAGAGGCTTTACACAGAAGGAGCTCAGACTGATGTGGTAATCTAAAGCTAAGGCTAAAGCTACTTACAGACCTCTTCATGCATGTGTTTCATAATTATTGCATCTTAACGTGAAGGCAGGCCTTAACTGTGAAACAAATAAAGAAAAATGAATGCCAGCAGCAAAACTAACTAAGGACACTTAGACTGGTTGTCCACTCTACTGGTGTAAAAGGGTGGTGAGGGGGGGTCTGTACCTTTTTACTTACTGTGATCACTGAAAGCTCAAATTAAGTTTGGATAAACTTTTATTAAATGAATACTTAAATGAATAGGAACTCTACACAGTGTTGTACATTGCGTCTAATAAAAGTTGTTAATTGATGAAACCCCCCGTGTTCTACATGTTAAACCATAGGATGCTCTGTACACTGAGAGAAACCGGTAAAATATGGATCTTCTTTTTAAACCAAGTGAAGCAGAGTCTGGCCCAGATCTTCCTTAACTTGAGTAGAAAAATAGAAAAAGTGGGTGTGAATTTCCTCAGCTATTAGTTTATTGTCAAAGAGCTTTTGATGACTGGCCTTCAGCCTGAGCTGAATTATTCATGCGAAAACAGTTTCATGATGCTGACTCACGTTGTCGATGGCCCTAAGCCGCAGTCCAACCTTCCTATCCTGGTCTTTGCAGAGGATAATCTCCCGCAATCCGGGGCGGATCTCTGCCCTCCGGATGCCCACATCGGTCCCTGTCACTGGCCGAACCATGCCCCCATAACCTGAGCTGGAGGGCACTGCCACTTGCTGAGGAGGGAAGAGAAAGCCAAAGAAGATATGACAGGAGAAAGGGAGGGTTGAGAAAGAAGAAGAGGAATAATAGATTATGGGGGCATGTAACATTAAAATTCATTTGAAGACAAAAAAAATAAATCATTGTGGAGGTGAGGATATCAGCAAATGGCAGAAAACACAGATGGTTACATGCCAGCTGACTAAGCTAGGGTGGTAAGAGATCCTTGCATGTGTATGATACACAAACACACAGACTAACGGTTTGAGGGGGAGTGAAGAGCTCCCACTCTCCCACACACAGCTCCAGGCCTGTGATGAGTCACTCAGTAATGTGGTGATCCAGGAACATAATACTGTTGTGTTTAATCAAATGGAAAAAAACAACAAAAACACTGTTTTTTGGTTGTTGTTTTTTTAAAACACTGGACCTGAATGTTTGAAGGGAGAGGCTTTAAGGGGTTTTTATATTATAAAGAGAGTTTTTTTAATGTACCACAATTATAAAAGCAACCACTTCTGGGCAAAATTAAAATGTAAAATGAAATTTCAGTGATCTGACACATTGAATTGTCTTAAAAGGTATTAGGTAGTAGTTTTATGGAGGTTTCTGTGTCTCTAGAGGGAGCTGTGTGAAGTCTGAAATGTCTTGAAGGAATGTCTTTCCAGTAAGTGTCTGTCGAGACAAATTTGAAAATGGAAACAAGCTGGGGGTGTGGTGTAAGAAGAAAGCTTGCCAAACCTCTGTAGCTCACTACTTTTGATTTCGACTCCAACAATGTTATGAGAGTGCTATAATGAATCTGTGGAGTACTTTGATGTGCATGAAAACAACTGAAGTTGTGGATGCATTATTAACAAACACTTACATTGTCAGCCACAGGCAGCAGGGCCAGGTTCCTCTGGACTTCATCGCTGTCCAGAGCAAGACCCATGTAGTTACCCAGCTCCTCCAGGTTCGGATACAAGCCTGGGAGGAAGGAGAGAAGGAGGATGCCGAGAGGGTTGAGAGGAGGAAGGGAGAAAAAAGGGCAAGGAGAAAGAAAGTTACTTGAATGAAGACAGGTGATTTAACCTCAATTAGATTATAAACATTCATATTTATTTTGTAATGTTTTCAGTTCACAGATGTGCAAACACAAGTCCATAAGTCGTGATTTAAGTGGATCTCATTCTTTCCCATACTTTATATTTTATTCATGCTGTCCATCACATCGGATCAGGCCTCCATTGGAGGAATGCTAATAATGAGCACTCGGTGTTGCAGTGCAGTAAAACTTTCCAGGCATCAGTATTCAATCCCTTGTTATGATGGAAAGCCTATGACAGGAGCCTGCCCCTGCCTCTGCAGCAGATTACTGCATGTATCCAGACAAAGGTGAAAGAAAGGGCATGTGAGGAAAGAAGTGAGAGGAGGAAAAAGTCTGAACAGTTGCTACAAAGCAGCATACATGAGTACTTGTGCTGGACAGTCTAGCAAGTGTTAGCACTTGATGTGCAGTTCATTTGACCAGATCTCCCACAAAGCAAAAGCATTAGCTTAGAAGATAAATAGCAACTTGTCAGAATGTGCTGGTGCTTATATTGATTTCTGACGCCACCCGTGCTTAAGTCAGGGCCCAGCTGGGCAGCCCCAGTCAAAAAAAGTCTGGATTTAGACCAGCTAGATAAACTTACGCACTTGCAAGCATGTCATGTTACTCTGGCCAGCAGCAGGACAGAGGGTTCTGTTGCTGGGACAGATGGTGCAGAAAGTGAAGGTCAGGGACAAAACTTTCAGATGGATATATTTTCATTCATCTATCCCATTCAACACTAGTTCTGTGGAGAGTCACTGTCTAATATCGGAGCTGTTGAAGCATTTCCTATTGAGGAAAGTATCGTAAATGTTCCAGAGAAATATCTGGAACATGGTGTAAGAAAAGGAAACAGTTGTAACTTCTTCAGGTAAGAAGCCTAAATTCATATCCTGGGGTTGCTTCTGAGACAAACTTATTTTTAAGGAGATGTATCAGTCAGGATGTGTTTTTATTGTCCTTGACAAATTAGTACTATGTTGGAACACATGAGCAGTGCAGAGACAGTGCCCAGGCAGTGAAACACATAAAAGACCCTCATGCTCTGCTGAAATAAAATAAGCGCACATAAACTACATAAATTAAGTATTTTGTGCCTTTCTTTCGGGAGGAAGAAACACCAACATGTTTCAAGCTTAGCATATGAAGTATATAAAACTTCCCAAAATGCAGATCATGATTCACTTCACACTCCTACACTAGGACCTCCCCAAATCCTTGCTTCATTATTGCAAAAACTGAGAATGTCCAGTCATTGCTGCCAGTTACCCTCTCTTTTTCTCTCCATTCATGACTTTGTGCTGTTTCACAGCCTGCTCTTTAATGCAGCTCTAACAAAATCTTGCTTCACAGTTATACAAATATAAAAATAATGCTTGGTAAAGAACTTTGCTCTTTCATTAAATTCAAAAGCATTTCACTGTTCTTGTACTTCACCCTTTCTACCCAGAAATCTCCCTTAAGCTTCAGTATTTAGGAAACTACCTTTGAACATAAACCCTTGTTTCCAAATTAGGGAGTCAATTCCTTCTACATTTCTTTTTCTCTTCATGTCCCATCAGAAATCTCTTGGATGATTCTTTCTTAATACTCAAATTACTGGCTACAATGACTTAATCAGTTAATCAAGTGCCACTGATTTCAAAGACATTTAGGAATGCTATGAGTTTTTGTATCAATTTGCATTTAATATGTTATTTCAGTGGTGTAAAATGTCCACAGGTGTGATCAGTAACTGATTATGACTGTAGGACTGATGTGTGAGTACAGCGTCAGTAACTGTAGACCTGAGGTCTACATCAGCAACAATGCCCAGGGCACAGTTGGGCTAGAGGTTAGGTCCTCCAAGAGGGCTGCCTGGGTTCAAACCCAACCTGCAGCTCCTTTCCAGCATGGCATTCCACACTTTCTCCCGTTATCCTACTGTCCTATCAAATCAAGGCAAAAAGCCCAAAAATAAATCTGAACAAAAAACAATGCAGGATGTTCTGGATAGAGGAATGCTGTCAAATGAAGTTACATTTACTGACATTCCTTGAACAGGGAGTACAGATTAGTTAGTACTGTTTGTGTCTTCGGTGGAACCAAACGCCTCTTTGTGTTTATAAGGATGGGCCATGAAAATATTAACAGGAGTAATTAAGGTCAGGTTGACTGACTAAATGACTGCAATTTTACATTATCAGTGCATCTGGATGGGCCGTTGATCAGAGCTGATCAAGTCTCTCACATTTAACTCTCTCTCTGTTTCCATTTTTCACACAAGGGTGGAAAAAAATTCCTCTCCTCTCTTTTTGCTCACCCCTACACCCCCTGGGTCTCTCTCTCCCTCCTTTTCATTTCAACTCCTCCTCTCTCTTTCTCCCATCAGGAATAGTCCCAGCACAACTGCCAGAGCTAGTCTCCATGGCGACTCACAGCTAGCTCTGCTGAGGTAAAACAAAAGCCCAAAAGGCCCATAGGACTTAGAATCCAAACAGAGAAAAGAGAAAGTGAATGAGTGGGAGAAGAGAAAAAAAGGGGGAAAAGTGAGTGAAAATAGGCAGAAAGATTTGCTCTGCAAACTCTAAAGAACTCCTTTTCCCCCATTAACTCTTTTCTTCCTTCTAACTCTGGCTTACTGCCGAGTTCATGTTTCCTTTGACACAAACTCAGAAAAACATAGACCTCTGAGGAGGAAGAGAATAAACGCGAGAGAGAAACAGAGTGACAAACAGAGCTAAAGAGATAGATATCATAGACTGTGTGGGGGGCCCATTTTCTTCTAATAGAATTGCAAAAAGTTAAAAATAAACATGGAAGAGGAGACAAAATTACATGTATAAATAGGACAGTGGATATAGATGAATGTGTTACAGTTAAAATATAGAGAAGGAGGGTGGTTTTTGTGCCATTTTCATAAACATGGACAGTTCATGCCAGACTCACTTGATCCAGGCATCCCAGCAGTTACAGGCTGAGGCTGGTAGGCTCCCTCAGAGATGGCTGGCATTGTGGTGGCAGCGTGGGCATACTGGGCCTGGGCCTACGAAGCAATCAGAAGCACCAGTCAAATAAAAGTGTACATTACAAATACATTTCCTTTTTTGTAAAAAGAAAGGTCCTTTTAGCTTGATTATGCATTATAGCTATTTATTTTATCGACTGCGTAACACTTTATTTGACTTAATGCACTTTCCTGTTCTGCGTCTGAACTGTTTCAGCTCAGTGTTTTTCACTTGAGCTGTGGATGTTTGTGTGTCTGTATTTCTGATCTTGTCTTCTGTGTACCTGCTGCAGATCTAATTCCCTTCAGGATAACAATAATAAAGGTGAATTAAAAAAAAAAGGGAAATAAGTGGTATTGGCTAATACAGACTACAGCTAACTTGATGATTATCTCCAAATAGATGTGCTAAAATCCATCCAACCTGACACACTTACCTTGATAACCTTGTCGACCTTGAGGTCCTCGAGGGATGGATACAGGGACATGCTGCAGGGAAAACACAAACAGCAGTGAGTGAAGGACGTTCAGAAAAGGAAGGATGGCAAAGTTTTATAAGAGAACAAAGCTCACCAGACCACTAACCAAGATCACCTGATATGACCTTCATGATATTCATTACTATGAAGCATGTTATCAGGTATTTACATTGAATAAAACGACTGTGAGATGTGATAGGAGTGCTAGTTCTTAGGAGTACACTGAGAATCAAATCAAACTCTGCTTGTTAGACATTAACCCAATCCAGCTCTAAAAACAGGTGAGAAAGTTTGACTGGCATTTAGTAGGAAGACATGTTTTCCAATCTATTTGCTTTTATTAGTTTACTGTATGCCAGAAATGACGTTATTGGTTAATGGACAACACCTTTTAAATGGCACAAAATTGGAGTGCCAAAGGTATTCTCTGAAGCCCATAGCTTTACTTTACACACCCTGTTCAAGCTCAGTAAAATTATATCCAGTTTGCTATTCAAAATCTGTGTGGTTCGCTTTGAATACAGCCAATTAGTTCATCTTGAGCCAAGATAATGGAGTAATATGTTAAATCACCATGATCACAACACTGGTTATGGTTTTTCTAATATTTCAACAATTCTACGAGGTGGGTATGTTTTGGGGAGAAGAGATGTTTGAGGATAATTCTTTTCCCAGAAATAAAAAATCACAAACAATGGTCCAATCCTAATCTCCATCCAAAAGCCTGAGAACTAAACACTGGTGAACTTAAATGACACTAGACCTGCAGTGCGTGGGTGTGCGAGTCCATAAGGGTTTCACTCATTTGTTGATTCATCATGAGGCACATACCTGCCTGCGTAGCATATGAGAAAACTTGTTAAGGCCTCCTATGCCACCTTTGTTTCTGGTGTTTTCTGAAGCAGACTGTTGTAACGACGAGCGTCTCTGTAGTCAATTACTTGCGATTTCTTTCCTTTATCTATTTTGCTCATGTTTATCTAACACTGAAGTCTGCTCTCAGCTGAGCCTCGGCACACAGAGAGGCAGGGTCGATACCGGCACACACACACAGACACAACGAGGTGCCTCCCTCTAAAATGTGCAAGAAAAGCTTGTCACAGCATGTTCAGCCCGGCATTAAATAAGAGGGACTAACGAGAGCACAGTTTTTCCATGTGCTTAACGGTACTCCCAGTACCGGCCAATCACATGCTGGTGCCAAAAAGTACCGGTATTCGATACCCGGCCATCCCTAATGAATAGTCGCACTGCATTGTTGCTTTCGTTTGTAGTAAGTAAGTGATAGTCCGTGAAACTTGTTTTCTTTGTAGGTGTAAGTCTACTGTTTGAAGCAGTTCACAAGAACAGATTTTCATTGAAAACAAGCTGATCTGTTCAGGCTAATAAATTATGAAAACACATTGCATGCTCAGTGCTCTTTCACTTTAGTCTCGACTGTATCAAAGGCATTTCCTGTACAAACTCATAAGTAGCATTTAAGTGTGACAGCTATGTTAAAGATAAATAGACCCAATGTCCAGAATGTAAGTATCCAGCACAGTTCTATTTAGAAGAAACAATTACAAATCTTCAACAATAATTCACTCCAGAAATAGAAGAGCAGCACAAAACACCAAAACAAGTGAGCTAATGGACACAAACAGAAACCTTCAGGATGTGTAACACAAGGAAACAATTAGAGTACTATTACGTACGTCATGCCTTTGTTACATCACAGTCACATTATTTTTTTATGACACAGCATCTCTCTTGTCTAACCCTGCCCTCACACTGGGTGACTCTAAGGTGGAGGTGAGACGAAACTGTAAACCAAGTGAGAGGAGTACAGAGAGGAGGCAGGCAGAAGAAGTATGGAGGGAAAGGGTGATCGTGCTACTATTTTTTCATCTATTTTCAAACTCAAATCACATTGCGCAACTTCTTTGTTTAATTATAAAGCTTTTTTTGTAGTTCGAACTATGACATAACTTACATACAGCAGACTTTTGTAAAGTACAGTCTGTCAAACAACATAATACACGAGTAAACAGAGGAAGGAAAAAACACAAAAGGACATAAAAGTATCTAAATGTTTGATTTTCTAAGCACTGGGTGATGGTTTAAAACATTATAATAAGGACACTTTACATCCGACAATCTAAATTTGAAGAACGCATCACATTACATCTTTTGTAAAGTATCTTGAGATAACATTTGCTTTGATTACTAAGATTGATTAACACCACATAAACAATAAACAGCATGACAGAAAGAGGAAACAAACTGTTTAATCTGTCAGCTGACTCAGATAATACAATACATGAGAACAGGACAGACATTAAGTAGCACAATGATGAGTCATAAACCTAAGTTTGTTTGAGTCTCTGGAAGCTAGGAGATTTTGCTTCTTAAAGTTGACCTCTATTGTTAGCTAATGTAGAATATTCAAGATTCAGTTTTTTTATGTCAAGGTTTAAAGCTTGAATTAATCTCTTTATCATTATTTGATTGTTTGGTTGCTTGTTACAGATTGGTGTTAAAATTTAAAACAGAATAAGCAAAGTCATCTTCAATTGTCTTAATCCAAGACCAGAGCTATTCAACATCAGCAACATATTCTTCAAAAGCTCACCACCCCCCCCTTTAAAGTCTTATCCAAAAGAAAAGCAAATTATAATTTGCTTGTGTCATTTGCAAATTCCAAATACAGCAAGATGAACTTTAGCATGAAAGAATCCTCACCCATACTGTCAACCACACTGTGACAATTATATGTCACAATCACAAGACTTATGTGCACATCCCTTGCTCAATAAGGAACAGAAAAACACAGTGTGGAGGATTACAGTATAATTAAACAGACATTATGGACAACTACCAAAAGCAGTACAGAAAATCACAAAAAGATACAGAGTGAGATGGTAGACATGGCTTAGGAATAAAAAATACTCTGTCAAGTTGAAAAAACAATTATGTTGTACCTGAAATGGATAATTTCCAAAGAATACTACCCCAAAGACACTAGATTGTGTCAACATTACTCATCAGAAAAGGGCATTTTCAATTTAAGTACAAAACAGGTCACCTGATGGATCCAATTCTGATAATATATACGCACACTGGAAGAACATGTGGCCAAACATGCATTTGACACAAGTAAGCGAAAGGATGAGTCTCTACGATAATCAAATAGTTGAAAACACAAACACATCACTGCCGGATCTCACACTCCCAGCCACTCCAGCCACTACTCTATCCAGTTATTCTTAGTCCTCACAGACAAGTGCATCATTGTGTCAGCGACACAGAGGGCCATTTTAATCCATTCTAGTGTTTACTTTTCAGCTGTGTTTGTTTGTTCACTTTATATTCCTTACTCATTTGAACCACGGGAACCAGGACACAGACTTATTTTTTTGGCATTACCTGAGCATGAAAAGGACCATTTGTTGAAACTTACACAGAATAAAGCAGGTGCACGTCATTTATATCTAGTTTTTATTTTATTGAATGTGTTTAAATGATCATCTACTTTTTTTTCATAACACAGTTTCTTCATATCCTCAGTTTATTCAGTTACAGGTTTTTTGGGGGGGGTTTAAGTTACTGCATATCTGTTTTAAAATGTGTGGTTGTGCTGCGCTGATTTATCAGTGTGTGAAGTCCAAACAACAAAAAATTGTTGTAAAGACTTTGGTATGTCTGCACAACGTTTTAAATACAAGTGTTTCCATCCAAATAAATCTTTTCCAGTTCAGGTCTTGCTTTCAATGCACAATTTTATTTGGATGCTACAATTAAATTGACTGTCTGAAACCTGAATCGAGGCACTATCTGAGTGAAAATCGAACAACCCTCTTTACTTCTCCGGTCTACACAGTTAAGAGTCTAGCTGTCAGCTGTATATAAACAGGCAATGTCTTGCTTTTAAGAGAGCTGTACTGCAGGAAGCTTGACATCTCTGTTGTGTTTGTTCCTACGCAAGACTGAAAGCATGAAGCTAGCAAATCAAAAGCTTTGGATGGAAACTGAAGAGGAAAACACAGGACTAACTTCAGTTCGCTTGAACTAATCAGTTATCTAAAAGAATGTGTTCTTCTTGGCAGCTTATTTTGGTCTATTGACATGGCTGGGAAAGAGACAGAAAGAGTGGAAGGGAGGAGGAAGACTGACCACGGAGAAAAGAAACAGAGATCTGTACTGAGTGACCCACACCCTTTTCACTGTAATCCTTATGATGAGCATGCTATATGTTTTTCATTCCTTTAATTTCCTATATTGCCATATAACATTGAATTAGGCGTTGCATACGAGTATCTTAGCGTTAACCTTACCATTATTCTTTATAAACAGGCACCATGAGCTGCTATATGAACGCTATGAACAGGAACTACATAGGATCAGACATAATGCGTAGGGCTTAACTAACGTTTGCCTAATTATAATGGATTAAACATCCCCCTGCAATACTAGTATTGAGGCAAATGCTTGCGTAAAAAAATAGTTAGGAAACACAGCTGTAGTTATATAATAATACTGAGCGAGTTTCAACACAAGGTGTTGTTAAAAGATACAGTGCGGTCATTAAAAATGTACGTCCACCAATCGGTCGGCTGTTAGCTGATTTAACAAGCAGATATTGTAGTTATTTAAAACGTAAACAAGAGGAAATATATATGTACAAACACAAAAAATAGTTGTTTTTTGAGCTGAGTCGCTTAGCACATCGTCTTTGTTCCAGTATTAACAGCAGGGGAGAAAGCAGCTAGCCGCTATGTTAGCTTGTAAGATAAACGAAACCTAGGTAACCGTTAACGTTATAGCTAGGGAGGAGAGAGCCGTCTTACCTTCAATGTATTTGTTGTTATTTCAGCTCAAACCCGTCGGAATATGAGGCAGCAACAAACTCCTTTATTTCTGTGTTTATCTTTTCGGTCTACGTCGCTCTGGCTCTTCGTCGTGGAGAGGAGACAGCACCGAAGGGGATTTCTGGAAAGTGATCTCACTGCTGGCTTCCTGGTCGTGCATCCAACGTCAATCAATGTTGACGCTTTAGGCCACGCCCTCTCGTCGGTCTCATGTGACCAATTATATACTACAGTGAAGCGAACCGTCTTTATGGCCGAATGACTAACCAAGCGAACACACTTTACATAACATAACAATAGGCCTGTGTTATGTGTTTTCTGGTTGTTTTAGAAAAACTCCAACTCTTGCTCTTAATTTTGAGTTGACCAACCCTGAGACTGAAAGCTCCAAGTGGGCTCTATGTTCATTGTGAAGTGTAAGTGCGAGTGTGGTGAGTGGAAAATGTCATCGTCAGTGGACTTCCTCTTGTATGATTCATCCTTGTAACGGGTAAATAAAGAATAGCCACCGTTTAAGCACAGTGCAGCTATTGATGCAGACTAGTGGAAACTTTCAAAACATAGCAGTGGCAGTGAGTGAGCCTGTAGGTTGTTAATGGATAAATTGATTGACTGTATTCAGTTTTTTTTGTACTCGTGCATCATTTTGAGTTTCTTTAATAACAAAGCACTGGATTCCCACTATCTGTTCAGGTGCAAAACTGTAGTTACTAATGGGCTAAGCAGTGAAACAGCAGGCTAATTCATGTTTAACAAATTAGAAATGAATTCGGCCTAATCCTAAGGCTGCCATTTTTGTTCCAATCAATCACTGACTTATTCACAGTTTAGTAGAAACACCTCATGAAGAAAGTGGTGAGTGAGTATTGATTTACAGATATGCATGAACTAATCATTATGGGCTACATATTGATTCATTTCTGTTGTTTAGAAGTAGTCTAATTCTTATTAGGCTATCTATGCCAAACCCTATACATCATTGCTTAATCCACTAATCACGAACTAGGTTAATTAAAAACTAATTATAACCTACTCTTAAAAAAACCGATTGAGTTAATTGTTTCTTTTTCACAGGTTCCCCATTCATTCTGCATCTGTTTCCTTGTTGCTACTCAGCATGTTATGTTACATCTGTCTCCATCACTTGTGTAGCTTAAGCAGTTGTGACATAGATCAATGGCAACTAGCAAATACTAAAAATGAAAATATAGATGTAACAAATGAAACATAAACATGGATCTCGTGTTTCTATGCAGTTGGAGGCGTCTCACTGGCATGCTTGGCTCCCCTTCTCCCCTTAGATGGAAAGATCAGTGCAGAACAAGACAGATTTTTTATGAATGATTACCTTTAACTCATGATGAAAGGTTTCTCTCATAATGGATAAGGACTCCTCAGGACTGGAGGACAATACCCTGCAGCAGCTACAGACAACAGGGGACTCAGCCCACCCAAACGTGGGCCTTACCCACGCAATCAAAAGTTGATGGCAAAAGTAAAAGTTTGAATAGCCAATTGAAAAATAGATTCACAAAATGCAGGTACAATTTCCAGCTTGTGTAGGGGTGCAGCCTACATTTGCCTTGAGCCCACCCCTTGTTGATGTTGTTTTCAGACAAAGAAAACATAGCCCTTCAATAGTGCAAATGAATGTACCCTTAAGAAAGCAGTGTATTGTATGTATTGAGAACTGCTAATAGAAGCACCTTTAAAACACAATACCTCTGCAGCATTATGTGATTCTATGGGGACATAAAGTTAATGAGGAAAAGTGAAGGTAGCCAAACCTGAAACTCTTACTCCATAAAAAAAATCAACTCAAACTTTTCAGTTATGTACTGTAAGCATGTCAAGTAGGAGCCTTTCAGTGTGGATTATTTAGATTTATTTGCTCCTTTAATCCTTTTGTATTTCTGAAAAGTGAAATCTTAGGATTTAGTGAGAATTGCAAATCGTAAAATTATTAAATGTTCATTGTTACACTTCAGCATTGTACTTTGATAAAACCTAAGCACTCTAACGAGATGGATAGAAAATGATTGGTCAACATGAAAGCCACAGAGGAAGAGATCAGTTTGCTGGAGGGGCTCTTAAAGCGACAGGCTCCAGTTTACAACCAGGGACAGAGTGGCTAACTATTTTGTGAACCAATAGAAAAAAACGTGTTTATATAATGATATTCTATGTAGTTATTGTGCAGATGGCAGCTTGATTTACAAATAGATTTATAAGACTGGTGTTTAGGCATTACTGCTTTTGGTGTTTCATCCCATGTTCAGGGTGGATGACAGCACAGACACACATACTGACAACAGCTCAAATCAACACACATGCGGGAGAATCTTTACATTATCAGGCTTTGAAAAGTCATCCTGTTGTAAAGACTGAAACCAAAATCATTCCATTAATAAAAAAGTTCAGATTTAAAGCATGTACTTTAAAATAAAATCGAATTTGTTACAGCTGTGGTGATCAAATAGCAAAAAGAAAAACGTCCATCAGGATTTGGAGAGTAATTCTTTTATTTTAAATATGTCATCATTGGTTTAGCCTGCATACAGTAACGTATCAGCAAATTACTACACAGTACAAAGGTGGACTAATGCCACACCAGCTGCAGCTTTTCCAGTCTGTAACATCGACAGCAGAGGTCAATATCTGACAGCCAGACCTGCATATTCCTTCATTTAAACTCCATTTAAAACTATTCATTTGAGATACAAAATCACTAGGATGCCTGTGGGTCAGTGTGTTTTTTTTGTTTTTTTTACTACCACAACACAGACTTCAGTTAGGCAGTGTGGTACTTTACTGACACTGGTAAAACAAACAAACAAAAGAATAACATCATCATCATTGATTATACATTAGCTTTGTTGACTCTCAGAGATATAAAGATGGCATCTGAAAAATACGATTGTAGTCGTTACACAAAATAAGGTTGGGGGGGAAAGTCACAGTTTGACTGGTTCTTTAACCCCCTTTCTTCTAATTTTCAAGCACTTCCCATTTTTTTTCCAAGAAAGAAACAAAAAATCAAATTGTTGTGTGTCAACACAAATCCTGTATTTGCACTGTTCGACCTATGTATGGCTTTAAATGGCGTTTAAAGACTGATTGAGAAAAAGAACATAATAAAGACAAAACTCTTTGCAAAGCTTTCAACATGTACATGTACATACTAGGGTTTTCATCAGGCCAGGAGCATGCAGACAGTGCAAGGTAGTAACCATGTGTCTGGTTAGAATACTTAGGCACACATTAGAACTATTCATAACTGTGATTGGTTCTTTTTTTGGAGCCAATTACCCCTGTCCAGCTCACACTGCTTTGAAGAGAGTAGATGAAAAAGAAAACACAGTGGTACTATATATTATCACACTTCCTGTGGAACAGCGATAAGGCCTCCCATGACTGGATGTTTCACAACAGGAAGCCACTAAATGTAACACTAAACCTCATTGCTATAACAGAAACTCATTTCATATGCTGTGATTTGAAGCTGTATAGGGATACAAATGTGTGCTTTTCATTTCTTTTTTTTGTTTCTGTAATATAACAAGCACCAAGTCTCAAAAATCATAAAGTTAGTTCACATGGACTCAGAAGAGATAAATGTCCCTGCTAGTGGTTTCATTGGTATTTTTGTACTTTTCAGCAAAACCATGCACAACCAACACACCAAAAAAAAAAAACAACACAAATAAAAGTCAGTAAAGAGAGAAGGAAAGAGCAATTCAAAAAAAAAAAAAGAAAACTCAAGATTAAGAACATGGAGGTTTTGTAAGGTCATGGCCCGGAGTCTTAAAAGGAAGAATATGATGGAAAAATATAATTCACTCAGTCACAGAGACAAAAGAACACAAACTGTCATAGTCTGATGAAATAAGTAGTGGAACTAAAGACTCAAGCTTCTTATAGAATCAAGTGCAGACTCTCCTAGCTTCTCTCCAGGTCACTCAGGTAGGAAGTCACCTGTGAAGACAAAATTATGGACAATTCAGGATTAAACACACATTTTGGTGAATTGACATTTACAGTGCTTTTCTCATCTTCTGACTGCTCAAAGCGCTTTTACACTACATGTCATCTATCCGCACCACATTCAAACAAAGATGGCAGAGGATGCCATGTCAAGTGGCCATCAGTATTAACTAATCACATTCATACAAATTTAAATACACTTAAGACACGAGGACTGCTGGAGTCAGAATATTACCACCAACTTTCCAGTTTTTAGCTAACTGCAAACCACTGAATGTTTATGTTTGATTTATTTAGGAAGATTTAATGTGCTGTAGGAGCAGCTCGGATCAAGAACAAGAGTAAACCTCTGTCTTTAGTTCCCCCTCGTCTGGGGCCGTTTGTTCATACACTCCCAAAAATGACACACAATACTCACTGTTGTTACGTCAACCTTTAACATGAAACAGCGCTGCTATTACCATGGCAACAGTGCAACTTCTTAAACGAAATGGGCAACATTAACTGAATGGGAGTAGGAAAGAATTACACCGAAGTCCCGTTACATAACATAACAGGTCATGTTGAACCCACATGTTAGGGATGTTTTACTAAATTTACATTGGTCACCTCATGCAAGTGTGAGACAAGGTCACATAACTAGTTTGTTTGAGCTTTTTTCAGAGCTACTAAGGCCAGATTTCAAAAGGGCTCCTGCTAGAAAAGGCCACATTCATTGTGATGAAGTCCAAACAAGTCTCCCTGAAGGGTATTATATGAAACAATTATAAAATGCTCAGCAGTAGGTGATGATGAAAGACCTGGCCATTCAAGCACAGCAAATAATTCAGTTTCAAATCAAATGATTCATTTATTCAGCATTGGATTCTCCTTGAGAAAGTCAGAAAAACTTTTTCCCATTTTGAGTTCAACGCCTTCAACTGTCATTGCTAACTTTTAGTTCGACACAAATGAAGCAACATTTTAGAATTTAGACTTACTACAAAGTGTAACAATGTAATTTAATACACACTAGAATGCTAAAATTAAGAACCATACTGTAAAATGATGTACCGGTACTGGACAAAAAAAGAAAGCTAGCTGTTAGGTCAAAAACTGAAGCCAAGCTAACCAATATATATACTGACTGAGCAGTATATAAATGTGGTTTCTACCCAGACATAAAAACATCTGCTGTCTCCTGT